TATATATATTAAAAAAAAGATGGGCAGTCAGTGGAAGGGTTGATTTAGCACTAATTATATTGTGACCCAAACACCATCCACTTAATTTACCGTATATGAAAGGACCTAATCAAGCACAGGGGCCCAAGCAGCAACCTCCCCAGTCCTGAAATAATCTGCCACTCTTCAGGCAGAGCCACTCAGCCAGCTTTAACTTCTCCAGAGACCAGAACTGAAATGTGGCTATGCAGTCCCTAGGGTAAGGCTCCTTACCTGAACTGTTCCCCATCACATCACACCAGGCCCTCTCCATCACTTTCCCAGTGAAGGTGAACTTCTTGCCCCACCCATGCCTCCAGGATGGTCAGCTCCACCTGGAACCAGCAGATCCACCATCTGCAAGAGAGCCACTTAGATGGGAGCCCTTGTCCTTTTGAAATAGTACTTTCTTGGATTAAGGGTCAGTAGGGGCTTGAGGCTTTCTCTATGCATTACAAGGTAATCAGATTGGATGGACAAGAAAGGAGTAAGGAGAGGGAAAGAGGCAGAGCCAGGGTCTGTGATACATTCTTGAGTGCCTTTCCTAAGGAGTGTCCAGGGACTGGGAGAAAGGGGAAAATGAACTCTTGCATTAAATCTGAGGAACCAGGGACCGGTTTGGCTCAATGGATAGAGCGTCGGCTTGGGGACTGAAAGGTCCCGGGTTCGATTCCGGTCAGGGGCATGTACCCTGGTTGCGGGCATATCCCCAGTAGGGGGTGTGCAAGAGGCAGCTGATTGATGACTCTCTCTCATTGATGTTTCTGACTCTCTATCTCTCTCCCTTCCTCTCTGTACAAAACCAATAAAATATATTTAAAATAAATAAATAAATAAATAAATAAATAAATCTGAGGAACCAGGGACAAACAATGGAGGTGTGGTCCTTCGAAGTGAGCCAGCCCAGAGGGATGCCCACTGGCAGGGCCGTGCCTTTGGGCGTTACCCACTTGGGTCCAAAGATGTCTCCGACCTGCACAGGGCGGAAGTCCTGCCGGATTGCCTCCTAGCAGGGAAACCTCTCAGAGTCAGGTAACTGGAGAGCGTGGCCACCGGGCAGCTGTCCCCGAAGAGCCTGGGCACAGAGGGGCCAGTGGGCATGCGTTCAAAGTCATCTTTCCATCTGGCGGTGGAATGCGGGTCCTTCGATCCACCTTGGAGAAGGCTGCCCCACAGCACAGCCTCCCGTTCCCTCCTCCCGGCCATGCTGGCCTTAGGGGGCGGGCACTTTCTTTCAGACCCGGTGGCTGTAGCTTGTGTTTAACCACAGAAAGGAAGGCAGAAGCCGGTGAACTAGGCCAGCTGGTGTCCTGAGAGGGGCCACACCTGCCACAGGTTACAGTTGTGGGTAGAGTGGTGACACGAATTTCTCCGCCCGCTCCAGCCTAGTGCGCCAGTGCTTCAGGGTTGGCGCTGCGTCAACGCCGCCCTCCCACTCTTCTCGGACAATTCCGGTGCTTCTGCGCGGCGGAACCTGCCTGTGGACGGCTGCAGGCTGCTTTTTACAACATCCAGGCTCTCTGGAAAGCCCAGCTGCTCGGAATTTTGAGTGGGACACTGAAAGAAGAGCTTCTGGACTGGTGGGCCACTTGGCAAATCACTAAATAAAATGAGAAGTCTGGCCTTTGGCTCGGTGGATGGAACGTCCGCCTGCAGACTGGAGGGTCCAGGGTTCGATTCCAGTCAGGGGCATGTGCTTTGGTTTCGGGCACATCCCCAGTGTGGGATGTGCAGGAGGCAGCTAATCAGTGTTTCTCATCTATGTTTCTGAGTCTCTATCCCTCTCCCTTCCTCTTTGTAGAGGGTCAGTAAAATATATTTAAAAAAAAAGGGGGGGACACACACACATAGATTCTCCAAAAACTCTGGGACATAGATAGGGGACCATTAGACACAACAGATCACTTGGCATCAGCACCAACAGGTGGGAACCCTCTGCCCTCCAGTGCCAGCCTGGCCTCCGGCTCCCCAGGGCCGCCATGTATGGACATGGTGTTGAGGGCTTTGCATCCCAGTACCCTCAGCTTCCTCTATTACCTTATTGTGTGTACATGCTGTTGGTCATCACCAGAAACTCTGGAAAAGTTTTGATTTGAGATATGTTAGTCATAGCACTCAAGATCCTAATAGAATACTGTACTTCACCACACAGGACTGAAGAGTTAAGAGAAGCCATAATGCCAGACACCTAATTTCATTTTCACATTACCCTACTAGTCCATTGGCAGCTTTTTTTTTCCCTCCTAAGATGGCCAAGGGGGTTCTTGTCTATAATAGCATTAAGAAAAATATATACACAGCATTAGCCCTGATATTTTAATGGAAATACTGACCAAGTCAAATTTACATTTCAAATGCAAACTACACAGAAGGGTGACTGAGTACATAATACCAAGCATAATCCTATGTAATAAAAGGCCAATATGCAAATCCACAGAACGGTGTAATGACCAGTTGCATGACATGCACTGACCACCAGGGGGCAGATGCTCAATGCAGGAGCTGCCCCCTGGTGGTCAGTGCGCTCCTACAGGGAGAGCACTGCTCAGCCAGAAGCCAAGCTGGCTCACTGCTGGCAAGTGTGGTGGCAGGAGCCCTCCTGACCTCCGCTGCAGGTGGGCGGTAAGAAGAGAGGGGTCCGAGACTGCAAGAGTCCCAGGCTGCAAGAGTGATGTCTGACTGCCAGTTTAGCCCTGATCCCTGAGGTGGGGCGGGGGTGAAGGAGATCAGGCCTAAGCCAGTAGGTGGACATCCCCTGAAGGCTCCTGGACTGCAAGAAGATGCAGGCTGGGCTGAGACCCCACCCCCCACCCCAGGCCTCTAGTTTAAAATAAAGATAACTTGCCAGCTATCATACAGGCTGGGTTTAGAGCTTGTAGCTCTGATGTCATTAGACAGGAGGGACAAAAATGCTGATTGTGAGAACCATGTAGTGAAACTCCCCCTTCTTTTTTGGTTACACTGGTAGACTGAAGGTTTTCTCCTGAACTGGCTCTGAAACCTTATTCCCAACCTGCAAGCAAGTGCTCTGGACATAATCCTGTGCAGGACAACAACAGCTGGGCCCCGTCTATTTCTCCCATAATTCCAAGTCAACATGATCTTTTTTGAGTGAGCAGAGGGGAATAGGTGAGTTAATTGCTGGGAAAACCTGAAGATTTCTCATCCCCAATCAGTACTTATTATTCCATTTCCAAGTCAGATAATGCCTCAGCTTCATCCTACAATCTCCTGCCACAAGGCTCTTTGTTACCATACATTTCTGGGTCCCACCTCTTGTGCTGTTCCCCCCCTCAACACTACACACACAACAAACAAACAAAAAATCAGAGAAGTCTACCATGTATTTTGAAAGCCCAGAAACCAAAAGTTTGTGGGATTTGGAAGTGTGTTGGGAGTGAGGGGTGGGGATGGCGAATTTTAATTAAAAAAAAAAAAAAAAAAAAAAAAACACGAACAACAAAAAAAATCACTGTTGGTTACTTTGCAACTATGATTAGGGTAAATAGTTGCTGGAGGAAAATCCACCAGAAGTCCAGGCTGACCACATAAAAATCCTTATCAGCCAGGATCAAATGTCTGCCAGTTTAAATTATATATATTCCATTTTCAGTTAGTAATGAAATGTATCAAATCTCCCTCCCAATCCCACTTATACCACATGCCTTATACACACTTCTTTCAAATACTGATTTGGTATTTAAGTTGCTCACTCCCATTTCTACTAAGGATAAGAAAAAATATAGAGAATTATACATTATTTAGCTAGACAACTCATTCATATATCACACATATCTAAACAGTTGGATATGAGAGGGAGAAAATATGTATTGAAAGAATGAAGTATTCTGCTTCAAAATTTTGGAATATTTTGACTTGAGATAAGTGAAATTGATTGCTAACTAGAACAAAAGCCTGGATAAGGAACTGAGCCTAAATCCCTGCTTCATAATTGTTCTCTGGTGAGGAGAAGGGACTTGGGTTGCAAGTTTATTCCTTAAGAACCAAACTTTATTATTATTATTATTTTTTTTAAAGTTTTGGGGCAAGGGAAAGAAAAGTTTTACACAAAAGTACTACAACCGTAACTCCCTTTGGTAAAAAGTGTAATAAATGTCTTGCACACCTGTTCATAGGTACTAAATCTGAAGTCACATAGAACTATGGTACACAAGAAGCTAGAGCAATTATGCTAGCACATCAAAGCATATTTCTTTTAATAAAAAATTGACAGTATGTACATTATTTACAAAAAAGAAAATCCCCGTTAAAATTGTGTGTGTTTGAGAGGAAGAGTAAAGCTGGTGGATGGCACTGGGGAAGACTGGTAAAGAAGCAGATACAAAATAGTTCCTCGGGAGCTAAAAAGAACTGATTTAACTTGTTGAGGTTGATAAACAGAGGAGAAAGTAAAAGGGAGGCAATAAGGGATTCGGTCAGGAATCAAATTCACAAGATGATCAATCCCAAAGCCAATCTGTGGGTCCCACATAAAACCTAATGGATGCTCTAAATGTGCTTGAGTGACCAGGAAAAAAAAAAAAAAAAAATCACATCCAGTTTTGTGCCCCCCCCACCCTTTTTGGGGTGGGGTGGGGGAGAAGAGGAGCATTGACCATCAGAGTTACAACCCATTTGAGCGTTGAGTCCTTCCCTAGTTCGTCAACGTATACCCATCCAGCCAAGGTTTGAATAGCACCTGGTTCCCTCTTTGAAGGCAGGCCCCAGGAGACTCCAGTCTTAGCTTTGCTGGTGTGTGCAAGCAAGCTGTGTATTTATGCTTAAGTGGGTTTCCTTCCCCTCCAGGATCCTAAACCCGTGGGGAAAGTTCCCGAGCACAGACGGATCAGGTGGCCACGTTCCAGAGAGGCCCAGTGAGGCTTGGAAGGCATCTTCCTCATTTCTTCAGTGCGCGTGAGGGCACAGGGACCGCAACCCATCACACACACACCTCCTTCAGGTTATCTACTCTGGCTTCGCAGTTATGGGGTTTTGAACACTGTGCCGTATTTGACACGGTACTTGTTAATGTTCACAAAATGCAGAGTCTCTGTGTCACAGGTGGTGGTACAGGGTACCAGGCCCTCCAGCCCCTCACCCATGAGCCACTTGCTGGTCTCCGCTGCCATTTCACGGGGCACGTGCTCCTTGGTCCACTTATCTACCCAGGCCTGGAACCTCTGATGTAGTCTCTTGCTTACACGCTCATGGGACTGCAAAACAAAACAAGTAAACAAAACAAAAACACCCATGAACTAGGACCAAAAAAACACAACCCTTCAAATACAAAGCCCAATTTCCTCCTAAATTAGCAAAGAAAAGATGTGGCCACAAGTTTCTGATACCACTGGTTAGTGGGGGGGGGGGGGGGGGCCGAGAGACACGACAACGACGACACACAAAAAAGTAGAAATCTATTTTTAAGAAGAGAACTAAAAGAGGTTAAGAATATAGAGCATGTAAAGAGTTGGAACCCACTGAGCCACCAAAGAAATGCCAACAAAGGTTCTGGGCAAAACAAGTTCAGTGTTTCTCAATTTTAGCATTCATTAGAATCACCTGGGGAATTTAATAAACTATAGATTTCCTTGTTTCTCTCAATCTACATTTTAACATCAGCAACCCACCTGATTCTAATTAAAAAAAAAAAAATTCTCACCTGAGAATATTTTTCCATTGATTGTTTTAGAGAGTGGAAGGGAGGGGAGAGACAGAGAGAGAAACATCAGTGTGAGAGAGGCCACATCATTGGTGCCTCCTGCACAGGTCCGACCAGGGCCAGGGACCAAGCCTGTGTGTGCCCTTGACCAGAACTGAACCAATGACCATTTAGTCCTCAGGCCAACACTTCAGCCACTGAGCCAGGGACCAGCGGATTCTAATATACCTTCAAGTTAGACAGCTGTTAGTTATTTCTATCAGCAGCATGGCAACCCACTTCTAAACAACATGAAGCTTACAGGGCTTAAAATCCTCACAGTATTACCCCCACCCTGTCCAGCAGAGTATCAAGCATAGCGGATCTCCAGTGGATCCTACCTATGCATCCTGTAAATATTTATGAGTGCTCACATAAAAGACAGAGGAAAAAAGAATGAATTAGGCCCAGCTCCCCAAATAATTTAAACTAGAGACACAGATACACAGCACACAGTACCATGAGATAAGTATATTAAACTGTCCACCCAGCATCTCTTACTTGAATGTTTTATTGCCTTATCAAACTTAAGCAGTACAAAACAAAATGTTTGTTCTGCCCCTCAAAAATGATAATCTCTTCTTAATAATAGATATATTCCTAAACTTCTCACTTACCCAAGAAAAACAAAACCAAATAACAAAAACCACACCAGGCATCATCCTTGTTTTTCTCTTACCTCAAATGGGAATCTAATCATTACTGTCTGACAACTATATCTCAAAATTGTATCTCCAATTTGTTTAATTCTTATAATTCCCCTGCCACCTTTCTGCTAGACCAGGTCACCACTGAATCTCATTTGGACTAGAGCAGTCCTTTTGTCTGGTCTCTGCTTCCCACTTTGTGCCACCACTTTCCTCATAACAAACAGTCCAAGCCATCTTTGTCAACAACATCCCAATGCTCTTCAAACAAAATCCAAACCCTGGCCTGTAAGACTAAGCAATGTGGCCTCTTATTACCCTTCCAACTTTACTCATCCCACTTTTCTTATGGCTCAAGCCACACCGATGGTTTCAGTTTTTCACATATTCCTCCCTCTCAGCCTTGGACTTGCTTCCTTTGCCTAGAAATTATCAACCCCCAACTCTTCACAGAGTTGGATCCTTGTCACTGTTCAGGTCTTAAGCTTCACCTCCTTAGAGAGATCTCTCCCACAAAAGCTGGGCACAACACTTACTCTTGGTCACTTCACCTAGCTGCTTTCCTTGACAGTGAATATCACACTGCCTTTCTTATATACTCTACTTCATGGCTGTGGTCCCAGGGTGTGGCTCAATACCTGGTACAGAAGCTTTCACTCCTGCAGCAGTACATGTAAATGGGTAGCCTTCATATAAGCACTGCCACTTGAAGGTAAATGCTAGGAATAGCTTCAATGGAAATGCCACCAGCTATATTGGGTTGATTTGTGCCCCACCTCCAAATTCATATATTCCAGTCCTAACCCTCAGTACCTCAGAATGTGCCCTAATATGGAAATAAGGTTGTTGCAGTAATAATTAGTTAATATGTTAGCAGGGTGAACCATAATGCAATATGACTGCAGAGGAAAACTTGGACACACACATGCACACAGGGAGAATGCCATGTGAAGATGAAGGCAAGTATCTACAAACCAAGAAATATCAAAGGGTGTCAGTTAACTACCAGAGTCCAGAGGAGGCAAGCAAAACATTCTCCCTCACAGCCCTCCGAAGGTTTGAACCTACTCTGCCAACACTTTTAACTTGAACTTCAAGCTTTCAGAACTCTGAGACAATAAAAAATAAATGCTGCAACCAAGTACCACACAACAATTTGTGTGGCACTTTGTTACAGCATCCTCAACAACCTAATACACTTTGTTACAGCATCCTCAACAACCTAATACACCAGTTTACTCAATTCTTAAATCCAAGTGGAGATGTTCATAAAGGAAGAGAAAAAACTAGCTGCCTCTAGGGTAGCGCTGGTCCTGGCTGGGGAGAGGTTCTTACCTGATGAGCCCGGAGCAATGCAGTCCTCCGATACATGTAGTCCTCAGACTTGATCACATACACCATCTTGTAGGAGTTCAGCTTGAACCTACACTCCAGTTTATCCAGGCTATCCACATTCTCCAAGCTCTTCTTGCTGTTTCCTTCCTTCCCTTCCTTTTCTTGCTGTTCTCGACCACGCTGACACTTCCGGATCCGCCGCAGGTTCCTACAAAGCAGAAAGCCATGAATGATGAGAGCTAGTCCAGACAGATTTCCATGACTCCCCTAAGAGTTTTCCTTATTATATGCCTTCACAGTACTCATCATTATTTTATTTATTTATTTTTTAAATATATACTTTATTGATTTTTTACAGAGAGGAAGAGAGAGGGATAGAAAGTTAGAAACATCGATGAGAGAGAATCATCGATCAGCTGCCTCTTGCACACCCCCTACTGGGGATGTGCCCACAACCAAGGTACACGCCCTTGACCGGAATTGAACCAGGGACCTTTCAGTCCACAGGCTGATGCTCTATCTATTGATCCAAATCAGTTTCGGCTCTCATATAAAAAATGTCCAATGATTTCATTGTAAAAAAAAAAAAAAAAAAAATCAGCTGCAGGGATAAACAGAAAAGCAGAAATCTTCAACTACCTCCTACCCCTAATTCTTCAAAGATCCCGCTTGCCTTAGCAGAGATAACCTCTGTCAGCAACCTTGCTTTGAAATCTTCTAGGTATCCTTGAAATAACATGTAATCACTTGCTATGGTTTTGCTCTTGGAATTTGTTCAAGAGAAAATAGAATCACACTATAAATATTATTCTATTATTCTCAACTTTTCACTGACTCTCATGAAGATTTGTCTACATATAAAATTGTCTCTCTTTAATGGCTGCAGAGGAAATGTGCCTCAATTTACCATTCCTTAACAGAAATCAATCAGGACTTTCTCATTTGAACCAGAGTACAGAAAATTATTTAAATGCCCATTTTCTCAATTATTCCAAAGATGGAACATAATTAATACTATTCTACATATCTAGGAAAAGAGATAAACATCAATAGGTGCCTTGGTAGGTAGATAGTGCTTAATTCTCTGCAACAATAAACAGAAAAAGATTGTTAATTAGGCAGTTATATTTCCAATACTTTATTTAAAATTACTGTTTCAGGGAGTATCTCTGTATCCATTTATCTCTGTAGGACAGCAAGTTCTTTTTCTATTTTTTTATTAAGGTATTATATGTGTACATATCTTACCTTTGCCCTCCACCCCCAACCCACTCCCATACATGCCCTCACCCCCCAGCATTTTGCGTCTGTTGGTTTTATTTATATGCATGAATACAAGTCCTTCAGTTGGTCTCTTATCTCCCACACCTCTCCCTAACCATCCTGCTGTAATTTGACAGTCTGTTTGATGCTTTACTGTCTCTGTATCTATCTTTTTGTTCATCAGTTTACAATGTTCTTTATTATACATAAATGAGTGAGATCATGTGGTATTTTTCTTGCATTGACTGGCTTATTTCACTTAGCATAATATTGTCTAATTCCATCCAGGTTGCTGCAAATAGTAAGAATTCCTTCTTTTTTATGGCAGCATAGTATTCCATTGTGTAGATGTACCATGGTTTTCTGATCCAGTCATCTGCTGACAGTTACATAGGCTGTTTCCAAATCTTAGCTATTGTAAATTGTGCTTTTAACATAAGGGTGCATGTATCCATTCTGATTGGTTTCTAGTTTCCTAGGATATATTCCTAGGAATGGTATTACTGGGTCAAATGGGAGTTCCATTTTCAGTTTTTTAAGGAAACTCCATACAATAAGTTCATATAATAAGTTCTCCACAGTGGCTGCACCAGTCTGCATTCTCACCAGCAGCATACAAGGGTTCCTTTTTCTCTGCATCCTCGCCAACACTTGTCGTTTGTTGATTTGATAGACAATCTGACAGGTGTGAGATGGTACCACATTGTCATTTTGATTTGCATCTCTTGGATAATTAGTGATTTTGAGCATGTTTTCATGGGTCTCTTGGCCCTCCTTCTGCCTTCTTTTGAAAAGATTCTATTTAGGTCCGTTGCCCATTTTTTTTATTGGATCATTCATCTTCCTTTTATTAAGTTGTATAAGTTGCCTATAGATGTTGGAGATTAAACCTTTATCAGTGATAACATTTGCAAATATGTTCTCCCATACAGTGGGCTTTCTTGTTTTGTTGATGGTTTCTTTTGCTGTAAAAAAGCTATTTGATGCAGTCCCATTTATTTATTTTCTCTTTAGCTTCCATTGCCCTTGGGGCAGTATCATTGAAGTTCTTTCGGCACATGTCTTTCAGCACATTTTGCTGCCTGTGGATTCCTCTAGTATTTTTATGGTTTCCCATCTTATGTTTAAGTCCTGTGTCCATTTTGAGTTTATTTTTGTGTATGGTGTAAGTTGGTGAACTAGTTTCATTTTTTTGCATGTATCTGTCCAATTTTCCCAACACCATTTATTGAAGAGACTGTCTTAGCTCCATTGTATGTTCATGCCTCCTTTGTCAAATATTAATTGAGCATAGTGATTTGAGTCGCTATCTGGATTCTCTATTCTATTCCATTATCTATATGTCTGTTCTTGTGCCAGTACCAGGTTGTTTTGAGGACAGTGGCTTTGTAATACAATTTGAAATCTGGTATTGAGCTCCCTCCTACTTTATTCTTTTTTCTCAGGATTGGATAGCAAGTTCTTTGATCCAAGGACCCAAACTCTATTGAAGAGGTCTCTAAATTCAAAGCTATTTTCATAATAATACCAAAACATTAACTGTCCCCATTTACTGCATTAATATCTGGCTTCACAGTTCAAAAGTAATGGTAAAAATGGTGGCAACAAACTATTCTTAGAAATCTTTGCATTCTTCTCTGGGCATGCACTAGCGATTAAAAAGAAAGATGGCTTCACTTAAGAACGCCCTAATGAAAAGTACCTTTAAAAAATGTTTTTATTGATTTCAGAGAGAAACATTCCTGATGAGAGAGAATCATCAATTGGCTGCCTCCTGCACACCTCCTATAAAGGATGGAGTCCACAATCTTGCATGTGCCCTGACGTGAAATCTAATTGTGACCATAGTTCAGGGGTTGAAGTTCAACCACTTAGCCTCATCAGCTGGGGAAGAAGTAACATTTTAAAATTAAATCCCAGCCCCTCAATTCACATCATTTTAATATACTGTAGGTAAAATGAGAACTACACAAGAAGCACCTTTGTGTGCTGAAGTACAATAAAATCTTTGAAGACAGGCACTTGAGGTCTGCTGAGTTGCAAATGGATCACCAATTTTTCCTGAAAAATCTGACTAGCCAGTCTAAGATATATGCCACATTTTTTTCCTCAAAAATGAGCAAGGGAGCCTGGCACTTCAAGGAAAACTATTTGTATTTGTTGTCAATAAGATTTAAGCTTTCAAGTAAAACTTTGAATTTTGGTAAACTGGTGCTTGCCACCATGAGCTGAAAGCTTCCTATTATTTAAAGACCAGAGGCCCAATGCATGAAATTCATGCAAGAGTAGGCCTTCCTTCCCCCAGCTGCTGGCACCAGATTCCCTCCAGCCACCAGCAGATACCTGGGAACCATGCTACCCTCTGGCAGGCACCCAGAACCTGGTCTTCCCTCGTAGTCCCAGCTTCACCTGGAAGGTTGTCTGGAAGGATGTCCAGTCTAATATTCATATTATACTTTTATTATTATAGACTAGGAGCCCATTGCAGGAAGATTCCTGCAAGCAGCTGCAGCGGCCACCCACTCTACCCCACCCACGCTTTCCCTCTGGCAGCCACTTTGCTTTCTGCTTTTCCTCCCTTTTCCTAATAAGCTGTCTTTAGCCTTCACTCCTCCCTCCCTCAGCATATGCAAATTAACTGCCATCTTTGTTGGGTTGATTTGCATACTCGCTCTGATTGACTGTGGGCGTAGCGAAGATAATGGTCAATTAACATTTTTTCTCTTTTATGAGTGTAGATGTATTTGATGAGATCAATGGCAATATTAATAAGTGTGTTTCTTTAATATTGTAAAATGAAAATATGTAAACTCTCAACAATTTTAAGTTTATAATTCAAGAAAGTATGACAAATGTATATTCATGTTTACATTTCCATTCCGTCAAAATTCCTCTGTGTCTCGTAGAAGTAAATACCCAGGAAACCACTCTTTTCCTTTCCATTCTTACTTTTAGTTTTTCTTGTTCTGATTTAATGAAAAAGCAAGTCAAATGATTAAATTTAAATAAAATAATACAACATATTCAATTCTGTATTTGGCTTCTTTAGCTCAAAATATTGTTGAGATTCAATTTTGTTGTGTGATTCAACACTCAAGATTCTGGATTGTGCTTTGTTGCTGTGTAATATTCCATTTTATACCTAAATATATTTTATTAATTCACTTAAAAAAAAAAAAAAAGAAAAATGTGTAAATATCTGGTAGGTTTGCATAACTTGGTGAATTATAATTTTCCAAATAACCAATTGCATGAAGTTATAATGCATAAAAAAGAATCAGACTACAAAGTAAATATAACTGTATGAAAAGATCATTAGTACTTACACTGATATTGTAACTAATCTTTAAGAAACTACTACTTAAAGAGCTTTGATGCATATTTGAGTAAGGCCAGATTTTCAAAAATGTAATGCAATGCCACTCTTTCACTAATTTTTGTTTGGAATAGCTTTTCATTATAAAATTACTACTGGCTTGGTGAATAGATTTGTGCATATTGAAAAGAAATTAATTAGAAGAGAAATTCATGAGATAATTACATTACTGCAAAAAATTACATGTCAAAATATTATCTACATATATAAAAGCCTAAGTGAACAAACGACTAAACTAACTGGTCACTATGATGTGCACTGACCACCAGGGGGCAGACACTCAATGCAGGAGCTGCCTCCTGGTGATCAGTCGGCACGCTTCCATAATTGGAGCACACTTCAGCTGACCAACCCGTCTTGGTGGCCCACTAGCCCAGTGGCAGCCACTCACTTCCCCAGTAGTCCTGCAGGTCCAATCTCCAGAAAATGGGCCAGGCACCACCAGCCTCCTGGAAGTCAGCCTTAGGCACCACAGCCGCTTCCCCTTCCTAGACACTCCACAAGGAAGAAATGATAAAAAAAGCAGTTGCCAGGTGGCTCCCAACAACCAGCATGAATGTCAATGAGATGTATCTGGATCCTGGGCAGGCAAGGGTGTACTGCCTGCCCGGAGGACTGATCATATCCTGCCCCTGCCACACCCTTTTTGGGATGGGTGCCAGATGCAGAGCTCTCAGCTAGTAAGCACTGCTGTGGCTGCACAAACCTCTCCTAATCAGGACTGACTGCGCGTGAGCCCGCGACAGGCACAGTGGGGCCAGGATGAGCAGGAGCGGCAGACAGGAGTGTCAGGCAGTGTTGGACTGCCAGTTTTGGCCCAATCCCACAGGCCACCCTGAGGGACCACACAAATTCATGCATCGGGCCTCTAGTATATAATATAGTATTATAAAATTAAAGTACAAAATATTTTAATATTGCTATTTGCCTTTCTCTATAATAGAAGTGTCAGAGATGAAAAAAATTGGTAAAATGTATATTAAAATAATATGTAAACTTATTAATCAACAATATTCTGTTGATGACGTTAGTTTCTTTTGGCTTCAGAAGCATATTGTGCCAATAGCTGATCTTCAGATATATTTTGTCAATGCCACTGCTTTCTTTCAGTTTCAGAGGTACATTGTGCCAATAGTTGGGTCTTCAGATACATTATGGCGTTGCATGCGATTGGTGCCAGCGAGAGCTTTATATGTATTGTGTGTGCATGAGTCAATGTTTATTTTTAAATTGCCAGTGCATGACATATGTACCAGCCAGCCAGTCAATCAGTCACTTAGCCTTTTATATATATTATTGATTTTTTTACAGAGAAGAAGAGAGAGGGATAGAGAGTTAGAAACATCGATGAGAGAGAATCATCGATCAGCTGCCTCTTGCACACCACCTACTTGGGATGTGCCTGCAACCAAGGTACATGCCCTTGACCGGAATTGAACCTGGGACCCTTTAGTCCACAGGCTGACACCCTATCCACTGAGCCAAACCGGTTTTGGCTATATATCTAGATTTTTGATAACATAATATGTTTAGTATTATTGTTTTTAAATGAATTCATTAACTTTTGAAACATTCTCAGTTTTATTTTCTAATGCGGTAAATGTAACTAGATATAAATCATATAAACAAAAGCTTTTGGAGGTACTCAATCTCTAAAAGTGAAGAGATCTCAAAGCCAAAAACATTGAGAACCTTAGATATTAAGGCAAATTATTAGAAACCGAAGTTCTATGGAAAAGTTCCCATACATGAACATTTTGACCCCAGAATGATTATATCAACTTATATCCTTCCCATGGAATATGAAAATGCCTCCCTTTCCTGCACTGCCTACAATAAATGTTACAAATTTTTCTAAAACGTTGCTGAATACAAACACATGAAATATTTATTTTCCTGTGTCAGAAGCATGGAAACTAAATCTGTTTTGTTTGCCTGGCACAGTGCAGCTGCTTGGGGTGTGCTCAATGAATCAATGAAAAAAAGAAACTAGCAGAGCCCTTCTGCTCACACTACCATCCATGTTCTGATTAGGACTAAGCCTATAATACTGGGATAACATCTTTCTGGTAATGTAAAGCATGAGATTTCAATTAAAATTTTGGCAAGATTTCAATTTTTGGAAGGAAGAAAGCCAGTCTATTATAGCAAAACCTACTTTCTACTTTTGAAACTCTTCTTCAACCTTTGATAGAGGACCAGCATTACAATCTGCCTACATATGGGCAGGATGAATTAAAAAGATTCTGTGAAGGGAGTTAACAAAGCAGGTTTAACTAAGATTGTTATCATTTGAGAGTCCTGCTTACAAGATTGTCCCCCTTGGATATGGGGATATGTCCACTATTCCGTAAATGATAAGAGTGGCTCTCTCTATATAAGCTGTTTGCTCAAAATATATGGCTTATGCTGAAAATGTGCTCTCCTTCTGGAAATGTGGTACATGCTAGGCAGAGAGGACCTACATGAATGACTACATCCAATAAAAAAAACTATGGCACTGAGACAGAACCTAATGAGCTTCCTTGGTAGACAGAATTTCAAACAGATTGTCACAATCCATTGCTAGAGGAATTCAGTGTCCTGTATGACTCCAATAGAAGAGGATTCCTCTGACTTTGTTAGAGATGACTGACTTTCCCTTTGCTGATTTAGCTTTGTGTCTTTTCAATGTAATAAAAAAGTAAATTGTCATTGATTCTCTAAAACTCTCATTTCTCTGATGCTTTGGCACAAGCTCCAAGTAAGCTTCTGTTTTAACAGCAACACAAACCTTGATTAGTGCCCTCAGCAGAAAGAACAATGAATACAGTAAGTGAAAAACGAGAATCTGAGAAGACATTTAACTTTCTGTTGTTTAACCATGCACAAGTGTATGCTGCCAATGCATGACTTAGTTCACTTACCTTGGGAGAAATACTGGTTTCCGTGCCAGATGCTCACGAAGCTCAGGAGAGGTAGTATCAGAATGCATGTATCGCTCCACATAGTCTGACCAGCGCTAGGATTATAAACGCAAAATAGAGGAGTGGGAAGAGAGAAAACCCTGAGCTCTATCCTCCATCACCAGCAAATTATATTACTAAAATTCCTAAAATTTCAAGATTAAAAAAAAAAAATATGTTCCCATAATGACATGTTTGTTACTTGGTATTGAGACATAATTTTGAAAGTCTGTTAGATCAGCTATTTTCTACCTTTTTCATTCAGGGCACACATAAACTAATTACCAAGATTCTGTGGCACATGCCCTGGCAGGGTGGGTGGGTTTGAGCATCATCTTGTACACCAAAAGGTTGTGGGTTCACTCTCCAATTCAGCGCATATGGGAGGCAACCAATTGATGTTTCTCTCACACATCAAAGTTTCGCTCTCTTTATATCACCCCCCCCAACGCAAAAAAAAAAAAAAATCAATTAAAAAAATCCTCAGATGAGGATTAAAATAAAAATTACAATTCTGTGGCATACGAAACAATGTACTTTTTGCCGATATAACAATTTTGCCAATATAACAATTTTGCCGATATAATAATTTTGATTCACTCACACCAGAAAACTATTATCATATTGGCTGTTATTTTTTAAATTTGACAATCTACAGGGATATGTCAGTGCTCCTAACCAAATAGGAATTGCATGTTTTAAAAATTTTTGTGGCAAACTAGTTGAAAGTCACTGCAATAGATAGCAAAACCCAGTTTCTCTGAGATACTTAAAAGTTACCAGAAGTCATAAATACGTATCAAATGGCTTATTCACAAGTTTTATTTCCTCACAGAGTGTTTTTGTTAAATAAAATATTAGTGGCAAATGTTTGAAAATCAGTATCTTTCACATTAAAATCTGGACTTCTGGTATCTCTGTAAGAAAAAATTAATGATCTGGCAACCATGAACCAATATTCCCACAAAACAACAGTCTCCCTTCTATATTCTCCCAACATCATACACGTGGCTTACATCCTCATTAATATTACCAGTTACACCCAGGTATGATAACCAACTCACTGTGTCTACTCGGTGGAGATTGAAACCTCCTGGCTTAATCTAATCCAATAAAAAGTAAACATGACACAAAAAATCAAGATGAAATAGGGCAGATGTCACTTCATTTGTTGTTTCTTACATTTTAGGACAAAAACAGAAAAGTTGCCAACGATAAGGTTTCCTCAGAGGAGATGGCTTTACTGATAGTAGCTGAGACTGCCATCAACCCCAAATAGCTACCTCCAGATAGCCCTTCTCTTCAGCTGAAGACAAGGCTGAAATGATCTGTTCTTTAAAGAGCATCAGGTCTTGACCCTTAAGCAGACCTACAGCTGTCTTGGCCTTCTAGAAGACAATCAATGAGGAGTCTCTCAGGACATGACCGCTCTCTCAGCAAAGCTTCTGCAATATACTTGTCATACCTCAGCTTCTACAGGGTCATCTGAGTTCTCCTCTTCTGTGTCCAAAAGCTCAATAGTCAGCTGAACCTGGCCTTGGCTCTGAATGAACATAAGCTGCAAATAAGAAACCTGAGTGTAAACAAAGACCATCTCCAAAGCTATAACCTAGCTTCTTTAGGGTTTAGAGGCAATAAAGTCATACAACTCTGTTCCAATGGAAAAAATGAGAAAGACAAAAACTTAGTAGGCAGGTGACTAAAAAGGCAAAAGTTTAATCTTGCTACCAGTAAAATAAAATGTTAGTGCAAAAAGCACCATTTTATATTTCATACTTCTTAAATTAGCTAGAATAATCAATGTCAATAAGAGTGCTTTAAAGTCAGAACTATACAATGTCAAAGCCATTTCACTTGATAATCCCATTTCTAGGACTTAACACAAAGATGTAAACAAGTCTACAGTATTCTATATAATAAAAGCCTAATATGCTAAGTGTCTGGTTAACCAGTTGGTCATTCAACCAATCAAAGTGTAATATTCTACTGATATGCTAAGGCTACTCAACTGCTACCTATGATGTGCATTGACCACCAGGGGGCAGATTCTCCAATTGGTAGTATTAGCTTGCTGCTGGGGTCTGGCCAATTGGGACTGAGTGAGATGGGCCAAATGGAGACGCCCTAGAGCCCTCCTGTAGTCCCTCCTGGGCTGGCCAACCTCCCACATCTCTCCTCGGCCCTGATTGTGCACCAGTTGGGTCCCTTGGCCTGGTCTGCACCCTTTCACAATCCAGGACCCTTCAGGGCATGTTGGAGAGCCGGTTTCAGCCCAATCCTGCAGGCCAGGCTGGAGGATCCTACTGGTGCATGAATTAATGCACTGGGCCTCTAGTTTAAAAAAGAAGGAACTTTCTCAAACCAAAATGAAGATGAAAACATAAACACAACCAAGAGGAGCAATTGCATTCCCACTGCAATGAAGATTACTCGAGGTATCACACACACCATGGAGGTAAGGAACACAAATTATTGATGTATTAAGAAGTGATCTGTGCCAGGATCGGTTTGGCTCAGTGGATAGAGCGTCGGCTTGGGGACTGAAGGGTCCCGGGTTCGATTCCGGTCAAGGGCATGTACCTTAGTTGCGGGCATATCCCCAGTAGGGGGTGTGCAAGAGGCAGCTGATCGATGAGTCTCTCTCATCGATGTTTCTAACTTTCTCTCTTCCTTCCTCTCTGTACAAAAATCAATAAAATATATTAAAAAAAAAAAAAAAAAAAAGAAGTGATCTGCTATAATAGTATTAGTCATATTGGAAGTTCTTCAAAAGCAAGTCATGTGTTGCACAAAAGAACTATCAAATGATGATGGCACATGGATCTCCCCTTTCAGAATCCTAGGACTCTCACTATCCTTATTCTAAGGGATTTCTGCAGACAAGGTCATGATTCAAGTCACATCGAAGATCAGCACTTAGAAGACAGCCTGATAATTTATTTCAACCTCTTTGGTTTAGACAGAAAAAAACCCCCCTAAAATTCAGAGTAAATAAACAGGACTAGAAGCCAGCTATGGTTTCTGATTTGTCCTAGAGAAGCTTTAGAAATTCCTATCTTCTAGTAAAATTTAAAACATGACAAGAATATAATATATACACAAATACAAACAAAGTTACTTCTAAAATAGATGGGAGGAAAAAACCTGCCTCCAGGACTATGCTAAACCCCTCTGCCACTAGGATGACCTAGAGTATGGTCAGCAAACTGCAGCTTGCAAAAGCCACATGTGGCTGGCTCTTTGGCCCCTTGAATGTGGCTCTTCCACAAAATACCACGGCCTGGATGAGTCTATTTTGTAGAAGTGAAGTTAGAAGAAGTAAGTTAAAAATTTCAATCGTTGTACTGTTGATATTTGACTCTGTTGACTAATGAATTTGCCGACCACTGACCTAGAGTGTCTAGATTACTACTATTGCTCCAAGGAAATCACCCTTCAAAGTGATATTGAGTAGGCAGTCTACTCTCTACATGCTTAAAATTGAACTCAATTTTATCCCAACAGGCTCTTCCACCTGTATCCTGTCTTCATAGGCCCCTCCCCATGAGTTCACCCAGCTCCCTCTCCTCTGTAATCACTCTCCTCGCTTCATTATTAGACTGCTCACACCTATCACCCAAATTTAGTTACCTGCCCCCATGAGCAAACTCATCTCTGATTCCTCTGCATTTCTTACTCAGTGCTACCAAACTGTCTTCCTGAAAACTCAAATCCAGTGGGATATTTAGTCCTTAATAATAAGGACTTTTATTATTATTTTCATAAACCATAAGAAAATCCAAACCATTTACTTACTAAAGATCCTCTACCACTTGGACACCCTCCTTCTACATGCCTCTTCCACCAATATCCTTCCTATACTTCATTTTCTCAACACAGTCACTGAATGTTACTACTTAACAGACAGGAGAAATTGTAAACGGGAACATGGCTCCATGCTCCAACTCCCTCTCCTAATCTGTGGAAATAGTGAAGGCCATCTGTAAGCAGACTGTGAAACCTTGGGAACCTGGCTAGCAATTCAGTCTAAGAAAGTCAAAGAGAAACTGCTTCTAGATGTCAGCCTGGATTGTAAACAGCTAGTGTTTCAATCTCACAAATCTTGTGCATATGTTCCTCCCCCTTGCATGCTCTGTTCCTGTTTTCTGTACTCTATAAAACCTGTATTGGGAAAATCTGGGTGGTGGCAAAACAATAGCACTGACCAGCTACCCCTGGTCGGGATTTCATGGGACTTCTTTGGCAGTAGCCAGTGCAGCAGTAAACTTCACTGGTCAGCCACCACCAGTGAGCACAGAAGTCCTAAATACCCATGTCTTTCACAGCTGGCCATTTCTTTGGAATCCACAAACAATACCCAAGATTTTCTACGATTTCACTTTTTGTCTCTACCCTAGGTAAATACTAACACATGCACACAAGGATACAAATACAAGAAAATGCTGTTCAATATAGCCCTATTTGAGATAGTCAAAAAGGAAACAAAGTTTAAATGCTCACCCATAAGAGAATGATTTTTTTTAATATGGTAATTTATACTATTAAGTATGATACGGCAGTTGAAAAAACTGAGCTAGATCTATATAAACCAAAATAGAGCAATTCAAAGACACACTAAATGAAAAAAGCAGGATGTAAAATATGCAGTCTAATATATTTCTACATATACATACACATGTATGTAAATGCACAGAAAAGAGTCTGAATGAACATGAAGAGAGCTAAAAATGTCTGAATGTAGAATGTATATAGGAAAAATAGAGAGGAGGCTGAAGGTTGGGTGGGGAGTGGTGGCAGAGGATTTAAAGGGCTGCTTATGTTTAGCTTACTGCTAACATATTAAATTTTATTCTCTATGTACTACCATGTTTCCCCAAAAATAAAACATCCTCCGAAAATAAGACCTACTTACAGATTTCCTTCTGAGTGAATATAAGGCAGCCCCGAAAATAAGGATCCCCTAGGCTAAACATGAGACATTTGGTCCACTGATTTTGAAAGAAATGGAGTCACACACCAGGAAATTCAGGAATTGGATTGTTATGATGATGTTCCAGAAGATGATGACATGATTGTCATTGAATAAATGAGTAAATTCTTGATACTGTAGAATTCAGTTTGTCTGGTTTGTGTTGACAACTACCGTACTACCGTACCGTATACAGGTAATAAATTTCCTTTATTTTTATTTAACAGTAAATGTCACTGTATTCTTCTTCATGAAAAAAATAAGACATCCCCTGAAAATAAGACCTAGCGCATCTTTGGGAGTAAAAATTAATATAAGACACTGTCTTATTTTTGGGGAAACAGGGTAGTAAACATTTTAAAGAAGAGGATCACTGTGATGACACAATTTTCCTGGCTACAAAGCCTTTCTTCCCTGATAATTATTCTTATCTACAGGTAGAATCTGTCCATTTCTTCATAAGGCTATGGCCACAATTTAATATCCTGTTTAACTCTTTATGGGTGGGAAGGCTAATTCTGTTTCACCATCAGCTGAAACTGATTTGGCTCAATGGATAGAGCGTCGGCCTGCGGACTGAAAGGTCTCAGGTTCAATTCCAGTCAAGGGCATGTACACTGGTTGAGGGCACATCCCCGGAGGGGGGTGTGGAGGAGGCAGCTGGTTGATGGTTCTCTCTCATCGATGTTTCTGGCTCTTTGTCCCTCTCCCTTCCTCACTGTAAAAAATTAATAAAAATATATTAAAACACACACAAACACACACACACAAAACCTAACATACAATGCCGAAACGAGTTTGGCACGGTAGACAGAGCAGTGGCCTGCAAACTGAAAGGTCCCAGGTTCGATTCCAGTCAAAGGCATGTACCTTGGTTTCGGGCACAATCCTAATAGGGGATGTGCAAGAAGCAGTTGATTGATGATTCTCTCTCATCAATGTTTCTAACTCTCTATCCCTCTCTCTTCCTCTTTGTAAAAAATTCAATAAAATATATTTTTAAAAAAACCCCACAACTAACACAATAAGTGCATAAGAAACACGTATAGATTTAAACCTTTATAGAAAAGCTTAGAGAATCTCTTCTGTAATGGGAAAGTCCTCAGGTATTAGAACATCAGATCTGAGGACTGAACTGAAAAACTTGCTTCCAATTCTTTGATTCTAAATTAAGCAAACATTACTGGTACTGAATTAGAAATGAAAATAACTGAAAGTAGAAGCAGACAACAAAATAAAACATTTGGGATCAGATTAATAAACTATTCAGAACCTACGGAACTAGATCAAACTGTTACTTAGCTTTCTTCCCTGTTCAGCCAATCACAAACCTTAATCTGGGTCATCTGAACCTGCCCTTCTTGTGTGTAAATACATATAGGCTTTACTCAACTATACACATTTATTACAAAGCTGCAATCATAATACACATATTTTTATGTCCTTTTATCTGCTTTCAATATTTTTATACCGGTAATTTATAATGAATTTTAAGGGCTGCAAAATATGCCATCCAAGTATTTATGCAATAGAGTACCATTAACCACTCCCATAGTGGATTGGACATTTAGGCTGTTTCCAGCAATACACTTTTCAAATCAGCGATTACAATGATGAAAATCTGGAAACAACTCAGGTGTCAAATAAGGCAAGCATGAAATATCAAATAGTCTCAAAAATATGCTGAAGACTCACAGGTGTTGCTAATTGCACAAAACAACTTATGAATCTTTTCTAATAAAGAGGGAATATGCTAATTGACCCTCACACCATCTCACACATGGTGGCGCCCAGTCAATAAGGAGGGGATATGCTAATTGCTGCCACATCCTCAAATGGCATCCACAGCCAAGAAGGAGGGGATATGTTAATTGACTGCTACACACTCAAAGATGGCCTCTGGAGCCCCCCAGTCGCCCATGGCCAGCCTGAAGCACAGGTGGCGGCAGCAGAGGTGTGATGGGGCGTCGCCTTCCCCTGATCGCCAGGTTGCCTCCTGCCTCTGAGGGCTCGCAGACTGTGTGAGAGGGGGCAGGCCGAGCTGAGGGGAAACCCCGCCCCCCCCCTCCAGTGCGTGAGTTTTCATGCACTGGACCTCTAGTATATATATAAAATTCTAGAAATGTAATCAATGATTACTTCTGGGAAGAATTGTGGCCAATCTTTCTTTTTCTCTGCATTTCTTATCTTTTCTACAATTAAAGATTACCTTTTAAACATTTTAAAACAATATACTTACAAAACACTATCATATAAAAAAACATTCAAAGAAAAGCAGAAGACAAAATTATAAAAATCATATAACACTTTGCTCTTTGACTTCTGGTAGAAATGATCCCAAGAACTTCCCCTGTTACCAGCACTGTTATTAACTACATGAGTAACTCTCACCTTAAAGCAGTTCTCCTCTGACATGAGCTGTTCGGCTTTCCGCTGATATGCTGACTCCAAGAGACTCCTTGAACTCTGTGTGTTCAGCTGGCCTCCAGTAGCCCCATTATTGTTTTCTGCCAGGTAAAGGTCAGTCACTTGCACACAGATCTCATCACTCACAATGTGCTGAAGCTGGAATCAAGCAAAGACAAGTAGACAATGAATCAAGAAAATATTTCTCCTTGTCATACACTCAACCTTCCTTTGATAATTCCAGTCACTTAGTTCAAAAAGAGGAAGAGGTTTTGGGAATTGGTAATTTTAAAAAATCAGTCCACAAAACCATTATCATTTTTTTCTTGGAGAATAACTAAGCCAAAACCTTCAACCATATCACTGGTCCATAAGTAAAACATTCGTATCTATTTAAAAGCAAAACTATATGCTGAGACCGGTTTGGCTCAATGGATAGAGCGTCGGCTTGGAGACTGAAGGGTCCCGGGTTCGATTCCGGTCAAGGGCATGTACCTTGGTTGCGGGCATATCCCCAGTAGGGGGTGTGCAAGAGGCAGCTGATCGATGACTCTCTCTCATCGATGTTTCTAACTATCTCTCTCCCTTCCTCTCTGTACAAAATCAATAAAATATATATATATATATATATTAAAAAAAAAAAAAAAAAAAAGCAAAACTATAAACAATGGTTATTAATGTGCTACTGAGAAGGCAGGGCGGGGTGAGGATGAGCTCCCGACTCCGCCCCGCAGGGCGGAGTTATCCCTAGCCCTCACCCAACCAATCAGGATTAGCCGAGGCAGTGACATCACCATCGACCTGAGTAAAACCCCTGGACTGGAAGAAATTCTCTCTCTTCCGCCATGCTGCCGGTGTGAGTGGGGGGGCCCATGCTAGCATGGAAAAGGCTCTTTTGTTTATTGCATCGGACTCGGCTCCCTGGTGGACCTTGGGGATCATGAAGTCTGGGCGTAACACTACCTATTTAGTAAAGTTCTAAGGAACTTAAAAATTTTTTTTTACATGAAAGAAAATTCCCATGGTCTCCTATTTTTAGGGCACTTCTCTATCATTTACAATTTGCTTGGAAGAGTCTGGAGAGTGGTGTTCTGTTACATGAGATAAATTTACATGTTTGTTGTTCATTATTTCCTCTAGATGTGTGAGATCATGTGATCTAGACCCAGAGAAAGAACCAGCGATCAGACTCTCAAACCTCAGAGGGAAAGTAAGGGAGGATGGGGGTAAGGGGAAGAGATCAATCAAAGGACTTGTGTGCATACATATGGGCCTAGCCAGTGGCCATGGACAACGGGGGTTGGATGTAGGGGGGCATATCTAGGGAGTTGTTTGGGATGGGAATGGGAGAATAAGGACAATTATGTGAGACCATAATCAATAAAAAAAAAAAAAAAATTACAAGTTTGATAATAAAACTCACTGTATGCCCAAGGTGAGGAGAGGGACCTTAGAAAACCATGAAAGCAAGAACCATGTCTATATCCCCAGCCCTAATACAATACAAAGTCTGAAACTTGGTATTTAATAAACTGTTGCTGAATTAACAGCTAAGGCCTCAGCTGAATGAGCAGAGTCAGGACTAATATTCAAGCTTTCTGACCCCTAAGGCAGTGTTTGGCAAACCACTGCTGAGAGCCACAAGCGGCTCTTTGAACCCTTGAATGTAGAGAGCCCCTTGGGAATGCTCTTTTGAAATTTCCTGCCCTGAGGCAAGTAAACACCAGAAAGTAGACAGCAAGTTTACATATGAATGGCTGAGAGTTTGCCTCTTTCCCAACAGAGATTTTGTGACCACTTTAAAAGCAGCTGTGCCAGGCCTATTGGCTGGAAATTTAAAACTTTTAAGTCAAATGATCTAAATGTATTAAAATTTATAATACAGAAAGGTTAATCTGAGCATGCCTACTATAAAGTCTGGATGATAGAAGTTAATCTATTAATTGAATATGCCTTATATTTTATTTGAAATGTATCCTTAAAAATGTAAAAGTATTGTTGATTTGAGAAATGCTAAGTATTTAATTTTGCCACCTAAAATTTAGAGCTCTGAAAGTTTAATTAAGGTCTCTTTTCTTGCCATGAAGAGGTTTTAAAGCTATACCCTTTTTTTAATGGAGGAAGGGGTAGACACCCTTCCCCTAGCGGGCAGGTAGGCTGGTTCCCACCAGCAGCCATCTTTAAAGAATGTGTTAATTTGCATAAAAACAGCTACACCTTTTCAAGCAGCCAAAAGGTGGCTCCTTTGAAATCAGCTTTTCACCAGTAGCCATTTTTTTCTCTAAGGACAAGTTTACATGTGAATACCTACAAGTTTGCTTCTCAGTTTCCCCGGGGAAGGAAAAAAACATGGTTTAAAGTTAATTATTAGATTTTTAAATTTATTCTTAAGAATATAAAAGTTTATTAATAAAGAACTGCTGAATATTTGATTTACAAATCCTGAAAGTTTAAAATACAAATTGAATTGGAATTAATTAAATATCTAAGGTATAATGTGTTTTTGAGAAAATAGAATGTGTTTTAAATAATTAGGAATTCAAAAACTGTTACTTATTGGTCTGATTTAAAAAGAGGATTAATTCTGTGATCCAGTTTAAATGTAATTGATATTCTTTAAGATAATTTAACTGTTATGCCCAGACTTCATGATCCCCAAGAACCACCAGGGAGCCAAGTCTGATGCAATAAACAAAAGAGCCTTTTCCATGCTAGCATGGGCTCTGTCCCACTCATGCCGGCAGCATGGCGGAAGAGAGCGAATTTCGCCCAGTCCAGGGGTTTTACTCCGGTCGGTGGTGATGTCACTGCCTCGGCTGACCCTGATTGGTTGGGTGAGGGCTAGGGTTCAGTTACAGAATGGAGGATAACTCCGCCCTGCCCCACAGTGGAGACAGGAGCCCATCCTCGCCCCGCTCTACCCTCTCATAAGTATGTAATCTTTAAATCATATATATAAATATGTATATTTGATTTTTCCAAGTGTATTTTAAGGTTCTGAAAATAACTTTTAGACGTTTCATGTTTAAGCATATAACTTCTTCTTCCCAAGACTTTAGTGGAGAGCTACATATTTGCTTATCAAAAAAGGGAGCTTCAGGATGTTTACAGCTCCGCCAAGAGAGTAAGACATCCATCCTATGGTGGCACAAACATTGCTAACATTGAAGGCCCCTGGGATATGGGAAAATATGTTCAGTCAGTCACTAAACTAGGATTTCCTAGGCCACCTGATGGCTGTCTGATAAGCATCCCCTACTCCCCTCCTGCCCTGATTGAAGGCCAGATAAAGAACTTCAAAAAAAAAAAAAAAAAAAAAAAAAAAAAGAAAGCTAAAGGAGTTCATCACCGTCAAACCAGAATTATATGAATTGCTGAAGGGAGTTCTTTCGGAAGAAAAAGAAAATAAAGATAAAAATTATGATCAACAGCCGAAACCGGTTTGGCTCAGTGAATAGAGCGTCAGCCTGTGGACTGAAAGGTTCCAGGTTCGATTCCGGTCAAGGCACATCCCCAGTAGGGGGTGTGTAGGAGGCAGGTAATCAATGTTTCTCTTTCATCGATGTTTCTAACTCCCTATCCCTCTCTCTTCCTCCCTGTAAAAAATCAATAAAATATTTTTAAAAATTATGATCAACAAATACATAACTATCAACAAGTGAATCTAAAAACCAAGGGAATTAAAAAAAAATCTGATGAACAATATTAACTGGTGAATATAATAGATTCAGAGGTATGGAAGGGGAGTGAACTGACGATTCTCAGGGAAAAGGGGAGTGGGGGGGAGTGCAAGAAGAGATTGAACATAAACTGCACCTATGGATGAGGACAATGGGGGATGGGGAAAGGGCAGAGGATGGGGTGGGAACCTGGTAGAGGAGAGGAATGGAGGAGAAAAAAAATGAGGAACATTTGTAATAATATGTACAATAAAGATTTATTTTAAAAAATTTAAAAAATGGGGGAGATGTAGAAGACCTCTCGGGAATGCACATGGATGACCTTTAATTATCATTAAAGGTCATCGAGGCATGAACTCGAGGGATAGGCAGAGCCACGATCTGGGAACATGTTTCCCCAAAATGTGAGAGACTGTTATCAGTACTGATTTCTTATCTCTATCCATATGCTTGGAATGAGCACATGACAATCCTATTGTGAAATAAAATTTTCCTCAAATAAAGAGACTGAACATAAACTGTGCACCTATGGATGAGGACAATGGGGGATGGGGAGGAAGCAAAGGGTGGGGTGGGAATCTGGTGGAGGGGGGAAGAAATGAGGAACCTTTGTAATAATATGAACAATAAAGATTGATTAAAAAAAATAAAAAAATAAAATAAAATTTTCCTCAAATAAAACTATCCATTACAATGGCAGAGAATGTTAAAAACAAAACAAACAGATAAAGTAAAAAGCAAAAAGTTAACTGCAATATTTTATTTTAAAATTCTCATAACCACTAAGCTATTCTATTTTTAGGAATTTATGTTAACTATAACTATTTGTTTTTAGAAATCTTCAATAACAAGTATGGGTATTTGTACATAAATGAACTCAGTGCAAAGAGGGTGAATGATATGAGGGCAGTCTAAAAATCCACAACTGAAAATGATTAAAGAAATAACAATTAGTCCAGACAATTGATTCTAATGTTTATGATAATGTAAACTGAGAAAAGCTTAAGATAGTGTTTTAGAGAGAGAGAACAAAAAAGCAGTTTAAAGAAAATATATTCAAAACATGGTCTCTACCATGTGGACACATACTTTACTAGAGGCTCAGTGCACAGATTTGTGAACTGGTGGGGTCCCTCAGCCTGGCTGTGCCCTCTTGCAATCTGGGACCCCTTAGGGGATGTTGGAGGCCTGATGCATGGAATTGGCCTGTTCCTCACAGGCCAGGCTGAGGGACTCCACTGGGGCACTGGGCCTCTAGTATGCATATAAGATTTTCAGTTAATCTCTTCCCACCCTCCCCGCTTCTCCCTTCCCCCTGAGATTCATCAGTCTGTTTGTTCCATGCCTGTGCATTGAGTATCTGCCCCCTGGGGGTCAGTGTGCGTCATAGCTACTGGTCAAATGGCTGAACACTTAGCATATTAACCTTCTGTTATATAGGATACCTTCTTGTTAAAGTAAACCAAGTCACAAACTCCCCACCCCTACTCTGTTCTTAAATATATGGCCGCTTCTAGAGTCTTTAGAAAGGGCATCATTATAATCCAGGGACAACTAGATAACTCCATACCCAAGCTAGGCTGGTCAGATTCTCACTCCTCTTAATCTGAAACAATAGTGCAGGATAGACAGAAGAGCATCTGGATGAAAATATCATGTAATGTTTGGGTCAGAGGCACTGCCATGGAAAGACAAGTCCAGTAGTAGGGGGTTGAGGATTCAATGTTCATTTGCAGAGAAAAGCATTAGAACGAAGCAGATGTCTAGAAAAAAAGCATGCAGGCAAGGGGAGAAAATGTCCCAATCCAATTCCTATATGATCTGGGCATATATTGAGTTTTTACTAGCTACCTATTTTATTCCTAAAACAAATCCCTCTTAGATTAGTCTAGAAATTATAAGATAAATGTATAGAATGACCCTGAAATATATGTTCTCCTCCAGTCAGGAATGAACTTAGGGAGAATACCAAGTGAGATGAGGTGAATGACATGCCTTCAATTGAGGGGTGAAGATGAGAACCATGAACATAGATTTTCAACCTATTGAATTAGGGTTTCTAGATGAAACCTGTTTTCATATAAAAGGACTAAACCTTATGTATTATTGACTCAAAATCATAACCTAGTGCTACTAGTAAATGAACTAATTATATCTATTGTTTCAAAAAGAACACCAATCTTGGCTTATAAAAAGTTAATTTTAATGACGTTATTCCTAGCTGTAGCAGCAGCAAACTAACTTGTAAGCAGAAAAAAAAGAAGCATATGACAACTTTTAGGGGTTGTTAACAGGGTTAGTCTCTCAAAAATTATGAACATAGCTAATTATATGCATACAATGATTTCTGCCAGTCCTGATATGGACCTCTTAAGGAAAGGCTTAATAACTTCTTTAACTTTCAGGAAAAAACTGTCTGCTTGACAACTTTCATGAAGATGCCAAAATTCAGAAGTGTTTTCCCTGACTCCGAGAAGCTGCTATGGGAGGAATGCAGAATCATGGATACTCTACAAAGGATTTCATATTTTACCCCAAGAAAACACTTGAGCAACAGACTTTTCTTTCTCTAGTGGCAGTGTGGACTTTAGAATTAAAATTATCTTTGCTTTTTATAAGTTTTCACTTTATTTACTTTTTGTTAATCTTTAACCAAGGATATTTTTTCCATTGATTTTGAGAGAGTGGAAGGGAGGGAGAGACACACAAAGAGAAACATTGAAATGAGACACATAGATTGGTTGTCTCCTGTACACACCTCGACCATAGCTGGGGATTGAGCAACCGAGTTACGTGCCCTTGACTGGAATAAAACCTGGGGCCCTTCAGGAGGGGTTCGGGGATGGGGAGTGGGGCATTGCTCTATTCACTGAGCCAAACCAACTAGGGCAAGTTCTCACTTTAAAGAAAGTAGTGCACCAACTACACACTCCCTTTGGAAGTTGACAACTCAAGGTATACTGTATACTATTTGCTATAAAATTATTGTTGCAATAGAGGACATCAAACATATTTATAAACACACAGGGTGCCACAAGAACAAGCCACAAAACCAACGACAAACCTAACTCAGAGAAATGTTCTATGAAACCCTTCCTGTAAGAACTTCAAATATTAAAAGAAGAAAGAATGTAGAATTAACAACACCTATAGAAGAGAAAAGGCTACCAGCAGAGAGCTCACCCCTGATAGACGAGAACAGAGCTGGACCAAGAAGGCAGAGATCAGGATCAGGACCAATGCCGGCTCAACAGGCAGCCAGCAAGAAAGGAGCCAAACATCAGGTGTGAGGCAGGCTCATACGACTATGAGGGCACACTGAGCAAAGTGAGGAGTTAGTTATGTGGGTGAAGTGCATATTCACTTCCTCTCCCCTCTATAGAAGCATTCCTACATAAAGATTATTATAAACCCTTTCTTTGTGCCTGGTCCATCTTTAGGGAAGGCTATCTTCCTGTACCCCCCTCACCCTCACCTGTCTGACAATGCTCTGGATGAGCTTGTCCATGGTGAAGGCAATGTAGGCATGAATGGTGAACATCTCTCGCAGTGAATCTTCATATTGCGATGAGTCAATGTTGCCATCCAGTAGGCTCCGCACCATATCCAGGAAAGCTGGGTAATAATCTTCTACATCAACATCCACTGTGGGGGAGATGGAACAGGTGAGGCTTTACTCTGCTAAAGAAAGATCAGTAGAGTAGGCAGGCAGGTCCCAGAGCTGGCCTAAAGAGCACTGAATGAACCAACCCTAGGTATCAAAGCATGCCTTCTCAATCTGAAGAGACACAATCTGACAGGAGGCTACAATCAGCAGCTCTATCAAACAGTGATTCCACAACTTCACCAGCAGCTTCTAGAATTCTGACCATGCCAGAAAGACACTTAGTGACAGGCTGGGCTCAGCATAAGAGAGCAAAATATCCCAGGGAAGAAGTATCTTCAAAAACTTGTTGGCTCCCCTGCTGAGAGAAAACCATCACCATACCCCCAACCGTGCCTGTGAAGAGCATTTCTCACTTGAGTCCCTTGCTCACCAAGCTATTTGCATGAAATATAGAGGGGCAGGTGAGGAAAGCAGATAGTCACACTCTAGCATTGGGAAACTTCTCAGGAACAGAAAAAAAGGTGAGCAAATTAAATACCATATAAATAATAAAGTCAACTGCATGTGTCAAAGTCCCTTTGTTACAAAATGGATTCCAAATGTTATACTTCATAAATTGCACAGTGATCTGTAGCTGCACTTGAACCATTTCTGCCACCAGCTGGACTCTTATCAGTTGTGATGGAGACGTTGGCAACTAGCAGAGAGCTCAGGAATGGTAAAAGGACTCTAACTGCAGCTTACTAAAATAAGACTCATTTATTTACACAAGGCTCAAAAACATGCAGACTTGAAAGTGGCATGAAGAGGCTACTGATACATCAGTTGTGTGTTTTTTTTTAATCTAGGTTCTGGTTACACAGGTGTATTCACTTTGTAAAAGTTCACTGAGCTATATACAATTTGGATTTTATACTTTTGAGTATGTGTTACACTTCAATAAAAAGCTTTCACAAAATGACATTTGGTCACCAGTTTGTAAAGTATATACAGGGGCAAAAAGCTAACAGCAAAAGCTGAGTCCGTTTATCTGCAGTGTGATGGGCTTATTCAAGATAAGCAAAACAGGACAATTACTGTTTAAGAGCAGCAACTGGCTTGAGTTTCATCAGAATATCATCTTGTTCAGAGTCACGGCATAGGCATGAGCCATACTAGTGCTATGAAAAAATGCTGTTCTGTCAGAATAAAGCAATGAGTGCAAATACACACGAGCTATGATCAGTGAAGCTGGAATTGCCACTCAAGATCGTAAGCCTCAAACCAAGATAAGTCAGTGGTCAAGCCAGGATTAGGCCATTTTCTCTTATTTCTACCCAAGCAGGTGGAAATCACCACACTGAGGTCCAAAAGTTGTCTCTATCAAGCTAGGATTAATCCAGATAAAGGTTTTTAAAATTCCCAGGGTCATTAGCTCTTCAACAGATTGAAGGCTAGGGCCATGCATGGGCTTCTTACATTAGCAAAGTTAAAAAAAGAAAAGAAAAAAAAGAAGCTAATTTGCTCCACAGATTGTCTATTTCCTCAAGGGCACAGAAGAAAGGCTTCATGAAAAAGATTTTGACTCATACCTCAAGTATTTATGAACTGAACAGTTATCTAGAAATAGGTGGCATAGAATTACTTAAAGCACATGATGAATGGCTTCCTTAACCCCTATTTGTTTTCCTTTTCTTGGTTCTCGATCTTCATTTCTGTTTTGCCTATTCTGCTGGCTCACACCATATCTTGAGTTCCAATCTCCTTTCCATATCCCCATCTCCATTTATTAGGAATGAACCATGAACCCCTCTGGTTAAAGAAAAGTCCTGCCCAAACACATCAAGAAAATTCCCATCTGCCTTAAGCATGAACCACTAGGAATTTATGATCTGTCAAGCAATGAGCCAACTGTGCTGTTTTTGTCTCTCTATCTTTTGAAATTCTTTGTAATAACCCAGAGATCTGCCATTTGGGAAACTGATGGCAACTGACACCCCCTGCTGGTGTCAAGTATCCACAATCCAAGCATTGTAAAGGGTGGTTTGCATATTTTCACTTCTCCCAACAACCTCATAAAGTAACAAGTAGAACCTTCATTTTACAGGTAAACAGGTTCAGAGAGTTAAGTAAGGTCACACAACTAGTAAGTTGCAGAACTAGGATTTGAACTTCTCTAAAGCCTGCCTGTGTCCCATGTATAAAAGGAAACAGTTCCAAGTCTAACTAGGCGCCAAGGTCACCAACCCCTCACATCTTCTGTGAACACATCTTCTGTAAACCAGTAGTCTAGGCACTCACTAGGTTCTTTAAGACGGAGCTGGATGGCAGGGCTGTCGCTTTTGTCTCGCTTTATGCCCAGCACTTCCCGCTCCCACTCCCTCTCTCGGTTTTCTTCTTCGATCTGCCGTTCTGCTTGGGAACAAATCCGCAGAAGTCTCAAGCAAAGAATCTGGTGCAGTCGCATAAAGATGTACCAGTTGTTATTAACATAGAAGAGGTTGTACACTTCATCCATCCCTCTTAGCTTCTGTGCTGTTGTGTTGCTAAATAGTAGCTTAGACTTGGGGGGGCTGCCCCCAACCCCATTGTGCTTCTTAGCCACCCCTGTGGCATCATCTACATCCATCTCTTCTTCTTCCTCTTCCTCTACATCCGAGAGATCACCCCTCTGAGCAAAGAGCAGATCTGGAATGAAGTGATGCATGATCTGCTTGATTTTATATTTGTCCTCCTTCTGAATGCCTGTCTGTCTCTTCACGTGGTGGATAATCAGGGCAGCAGCGTCCTCCAGGATCTGCTTGTCTTCATAGGCCAGAGAGAGGTGCGGGCCGGCAGGTATGCTAGCATTTTCTTCAGTAGCCTGCTCTTGCCTCTACCAGGAGAGAGAGATACAAAGTAGTAAGTGCCATGTCCATAACAACAACCTATCAGTACATTCAATTATTAACTATAGTGACTATTATTTTTCCAATCCAAAACTTCTAGGAACAATAAAGTAATGTGGAAGATGTGGTTTGAGAACAAAATATTGGTACCTTCTAGACTTTGAAGACTGATAGGGGACATTGGGACAATCTTCTAAAATTCTGAATTAGCATTTATGGAGGAAGCAGTCAGTATGAGGTCTAGGATTCACTTTAAAGTACTTCCGGAGTGAAAGTGCAGAAAGTGTTTGATATAAAAACATTGACAAAATAGAAATTATTATTTAAATTTACGTAAGAGTTCACTTTATTATTTTCTCCCCTTTCATGTATATTTGACATTTGCAAGATAAAAAGTTTTTTAAAATTGAAGACCACATCACTTCTAGGAATTCTCAACCACACTACATTTATGTCTCTATGCATCCCCTAAGACTGTGAATTTAAAGAAAACAGGATTACTTTCTTATTCATCTCTTATCCTGAACTACATAGAATCTTTGTAAGTATGCTGAATAAACGAGGATTAGAAAGAGTTTGGTATCAGTGAGAAGAGTTTAAGCAGTGGGAAGCTGAGGCAACCCAATCAAACACAAGGTACTCAAGCAATGAATGGGGAGAAGTGGGGCTGTCAACTGAAACCAGGAGGGTAAACTAGGAAACCAGTAAGACAGCTAAGGTAGAAAGGTAAGGTAAAAAGTTAAAATGTTAGAATCATTAATAGAAGCTTAGGACAGTTATGAAGCAAGAATCAAGAAGTCTTAAGAGGGTTTTGCTTTAATATAACAACTAGAGGCCTAGTGCACGAATTCATGAACAAATGGGGTCCCTCAGGGTGGTCTGCGGGGATTGGGCCGAAACCCACAGTCCAATGCCTCCTGCAGCTCCTATATGCTAAGTGTCCAGTCATCCGGTGGCTGGTCAACTGTGTAATATGCTACTGATATGCTAAGCCCCACTGTGCCTGCTGTGTGCTCACACCTAGTAAGTCTTGATCTGGAGAAGCTCCTGCTGCCACAGCAGGGCTCACAAATCTGGCACCCTCCTAACGAGAATGGTCTGCGGGATTGGGACAAAACCGGCTCTCCAAGATCTCCCGAGGGATCCTAGATTGTGAGAGGCACAGACCAGGCTGCGAGACCCCACTGGTGCATGATTTGGGCTGGGGAGGTACGGCGGGAGGGCTCCAGTGGGTGTCTGGCCCATCACGTTCAGTCCTGATTGGCCGGACCCCAGCAGCAAACTAACCTACCAGTTGAAACATCTGGTGATCAGTGCATGTTATAGCAACTGGTCAACTGTCTGCCCCTAGTGGTCAGTGCATGTCATAGCGACTGGTCGACTATCTGCCTCATGGTGGTCAGGGCACATCATAGCAAGCAGTTGAGCAGCCTTAGCACATCAGTAGCATATTACACAGTTGACCAGCCACTGGATGACCGGACACTTAGCATATTAGGCTTTTATTTTAAAAGATGGTAATTTCCAGGAATCAAAGCTATGCAGAATACAAAGATTGGAGCCCTCTCACAGGTGTAGAAACTTCCAGCTCACCTCATCATAGATACTCTCAATCTCGTTGAGTAAGCTCTTAGACCTTAGGACCTTGGTGTCATTCTGTTTAAAGTTGATACCCTGATGGTCCAGAGACTTCAAGTAGTATTTCTCATTTTGCTCTCTCCACACCTTATTAAAGCCCCTCTGAGCTTCTCGCCATTCTTCCTCTTTCATCTTCAACCTAGTCGGGTATGAAATGGGGTGGAAATGCACGTTTAAGTCAAAACTATTTGGAATGGAATCCTGGCTTTGCTATACCAGTGAAATAGGGATAACAACACCTAACCCACATCTGAAACCTATATAATCATGTTGACCAATGTCACCCCAATAAATTTAATAAACAGATAGATAGGTATGACAGGCCTGTCAAAATTATTGGCAACTTCAGATAAATATTATTCAAACCAGTCTTTAACTTGTTACATGAGGAAATTACTCATTCAGGATTTTGGGGAAATGATTTTCCCCAAAGTCAGAAATCCTACTTAGAACAGTATTTCTCAAACAGCATTCCATGGAAAATTCTTAAATATTCTCATCCTTGACCAGCTAACATAAATTTAAACAAGTTTCTTTGATACAGAACCTCTAAGAATGTTTACTATGCAAACATAAATGCAAAAGTCCAAGAGTAGAGAGCCTGCATTGTAATGTTCCTTTTGACACAGTTTGGAAAGTTCTGATGAGAACTGATCCTAACTTCCAGAAGAAGAGAGGAGAGTAAAATAAAAAACAACATGGAAACTGAAGAACATTCTACATCTCAAAGCTAAAATTTAAATACTTCTGGTAAAGAGAGAAATTATTTGTGGTAGTATCTGAAGGGAAGACTAGGGAGAGACACTAAATTGGGACATCTGTGCAGCAGACAAGAATACCTTTTCACCAGGTAATACTCGAAGAAACTGGCTCTGGCCCCCTCCTTTGATGGGCACAAAAGCCTCTCTACAACTCAGGCTGAAGGCTTATTAGGAGAAAGAAAAAGACATTCTTGGTAGCAAGGTATTCTTAAGTCTTTTTGAATAATATTTATCAATTTTACAAAGACAAAGGGTGCCGAAGCCGGTTTGGCTCAGCGGTAGAGCGTTGGTCTGCGGACTGAAAGATCCCATGTTAGATTCCGGTCAGGGGCATGTAATGTACATTGGTTGTGGGCACATCCCCAGTAGGGGGCGTGCAGGAGGCAGCTGGCCGATATTTCTCTCTCAACGACGTTTCTGGCTCTCTACCTCTCTCCCTTCCTCTCTGTAAAAAATCAATAAAATATATTAAAAAAAAAAAAAAAAAAAAAAAGACAAAGGGTGACTCTTTTTAAAAACCAAAGATAAGGGTAAGTACTGAACAGTAGGAGCATGGGTGGTGATTTTCTTCTTTGTTCTTTTTTATGGCCTTAAATACAGAGTATTCCACTATGGATTTTCAAGGTTTGCCCTGTACTGTTGATTACACAGAACCCCATCAAGAAGCTCCACCAGCTTGTTCAATTTGGCAGCATATATACTAAAATTGGAATAATATGGAGAAGATTAGCAGGGGCCCTGTGCAAGGATGACACACAAATTTATAAAGTGTTGTGTGTGTGTAGTTTTAAGAAGCTCCACTATGTCACTCTATACCTGACTTTCAATAACCAGGGTGGGGAGAAATGGGGGTCTCATGGGATAACAAGGTAAAAAAAAATGAGCTTTATTTAATGGTACACCAACTATGTCCTGAAGCACAGGAGAGCACGAAGGGCACATTTGTTTGGATACCTTTTAAGTACAATGGGGACAGCAATGGAGGGGTTCTTCCTCAGACCATCAATGATGTCGGCAGCTTTGTCAGCATATATCCTCTGGAGTGCTTTTCGATGGATAACTTCTGATGTGCCCCCTAGGGTGTTATCCAAGCGAAATTTGGCTTGTTCCTCAGCAGACAAACGGGAAAGCTTCTTCTGTATTGCTTCCAGAACCCGGATTGTTGCCAAATTGGTCTCTAAAACTACATCAAGCTAAAGAAAAAGACAAAGTGTGCTCAGGACCCAAATCAGAATAGAATAGTAGTTAGGTATATAAGGTGAGGAGTCAAACTCCCTGGACTGGAATCCTGGCTCTGCCGTAAAAGCCACAGAAGGCTGTTTTCTTACAAGTAGGGATAATAGCTACTCTTAAAAGGTTGTTTTCTGGATCAAACGATACAATCCATATAAATGGTTTTGTGCAATGCCTGGCACATAATATCAATAAATGATGACCATCCCAAGCCGGTTTGGCTCAGTGGATAGAGTATTAGCTTGCAGACTGAAGGGTTCTGGGTTCGATTTCAATCAGGGGCACATACCTCGGTTGCAGGCTCTTCTCTGGCTTGGGTCCTAGTCAAAGCGAGTGTAGGAGGCAACCAATTGATGTGTTTCTCCCACATCGATATTTCTCTCTGTCTTTCCCTCTCTCTCCCACTCTCTCTAAAAATCAATGGAAAAATATCCTTGGGTAAGGGTTAAATAAATAAATAAATAAATAAATAAATAAATAAATAAATGATGAATAAGTGATAGTCATTACTTCTACCACCACCAATGGGCTTGGCTTAGAACTATTAACCCTAGAGTAGAGGGACTTAATAGGAAGCAACCTTACAGACACTTTTCCTGAACTTTTCTAAATTGTTAAGATGCTCCTCCCTGGCCTAGGCCCTAGTCAGGGCTTGTGCAGGAGACAACCAATCGATGTGTTTCTTTCACATAGATGTTTCTCTCTGTTGTTCCCTCTCTCTTCCTCTCTCTAAAATCAATGCAAAAATACCCTCAAGGTGAGGATTAAAAAAACACACACACTCAAAAAACCATAACTCCAAAAATATCATTCAAGATGATAATTCTGTCTCATGAAAAAGGTTTTTCAGGGTAACTTGAAATATTTAAATATTTTATAACCTTGTTCACATTCAGTAGTAATAGCAGAAGAGACCATCATTCTTTAAGGATTTCAATGTTGTATGTGTAGGTACCCATTTAAATTCTTACTGAAACTCCTGCAACTTCTTTTTTGACGAGGGCCTAGTCTGACCTAGTTTAGGATATGACTGGCATCCTTTGAGTTAACTTTTTTCCTAGTCTTAACACAAGATTCTCTAAATAAGAAACAAAGTAAAGGAATAGTCTCAAGGGCCTATGACAAAATATCTGTAGAAGTTTCTCTAAGTTTTAAGTCATTTTGCCAAATATTTAAGTCTTCCCTTCCCCAATTTTGGACAAAAGATGGGATTGAACTTCCTGGTTCTCTTACGATCAGATAGGGCTACCTAACTAATTCTGGCAAATGAGTTATGAACAGGTAGATCAGAATACTGATTACTTCCAGGCTAGAGCATTTAAAGGTGCAACACCCCTCTTAGCAATCTTTTTCCTTCCAGTGATTGGCATTGTTCAAAATGGTAGCACTCTGTCAGCCAGGGACCCTGAGCAATTCTGATGAGCAGAATACCCACTAAACATCAATGCACATGTAACAAGATCAAGGAATAAATCTGTTTCTTAAAGACACCAAGATTCAGGGAAAGAGGGGGTTGCCTATATTATAGGATCACTTACCTATCCTGATGTATAAAAGGAACGCTCCTTGAAAACCACTGTACTGATAAGAGATTTTCAGAAAGGAACACTCCTTTTAACTAGCCCATCCACCCAAGCCTAAACATACGAACACACATAGACACACACACACTCTTACTTCTGTCACCTTTATTCCTATTACCACTAATAGGAAATGAGACTGTTGCCTCTCCTTTGCTTGCATACCACTTGAAAATAAAAAAAAGATGCTAACCTCTGCTTTCTAACTTATCTCACCTTACTAAACATAGGTAACAAAGAAATGCTTTCTTTAGCCTGATAAAACTTTCCATGGAAGTCACCATCTATCAAGATTTAGTTCTTGCAAATGGCTGAAGGCTCCTCATAACCCTGGAGCAGAGGCCAAGCAACACCTGGCTCTTCATTCAAAACATGCCAGAGACAACTGGAGTGAGTGAGGGGGATAACTGGCAGAGGGATAAATTAGTATGAGCTAACAAAGAGCAAAGTATCACCCATCTACAGGGATAAGCAGGGCCAGTAAGTTCTATATAATAAATACATTAAATAGGATACATGTAATTTTTCCTCTTTAGACACATTTAACATGTCCTTTTCTTTAAAAAAAAAAAAAAAAAAATGATTTGAGAGAGAGAGTGAAAAACATGGACTGGCTGCCTTTGGCACATGCCCCTACCAGGGACTGAACCTGCAATCAGGGCAGGTGCCCTGACCAGGAATTGAACCCACCACCTTTTGCTCCAACCGAGCTACACTGCCCAGGGAAAAATATTCCCTTTTTTTTTGTTGATAATAGCAGTGAACATGGGGGATTCAGAACCTATTTTCAGTATTCCCACTTCTAGCATGGGGGCTCTATCAGATCATTTATTCACTCAAGCCCTTCCTAACTACTTTAAAATAAAATACCTAATTTAACTTTCTTTCAAAGGGAGCCAATCACATCCATATCAGAACGATGAAAGAATTCCAGTTCCCATAGGAGAGTTGGTTTGCTAACACCTGCTAAAAATAACAATATGCTTTAAAATAAATAATTTCTAACAGCTTCAAAAAAGCCTAGTAAGCCTTACTACAGTCCTAAGTTTTTATATACCTTTGTAAAATATAATAACCTTTAAAATGCCATTCAAATTAGCCCTTGCTGGTTTGGCTCAGTGCATAGAGCGTTGGCCTGTGTACTGCAGGGTCCTGGATTTGATCCCAATCAAGGGCCCATGCCTGGGTTTTGGGCTCAATCCCTAGTGGGGGGCATGCAGGAGGCAGCTGATCAGTGATTCTCTCCCCTCACTGATGTTTCTCCCTCTCCCTTCATCTCTGAAATCAATAAAAGCATATTAAAAAAAAAAGACCTTGCAATTTATTTTTAAAATAAACAAATTATAATTCAGCTATCAATTGGTAATTTCAATTGAAAGGGTTAAAGTGGCCTAAATAAGTCACATTTGCCATTAAAATATTACTAACATATTTGACAAACTCTTAAAGTATGATAAGTACAACAAGTATTTACCATAAAAGAACATGAACCTCGACTCTTTAGTCTTAAAAGTCAACCCTCACAGATAAGTATTTAAGATATCTTATTTAGCATCTCCCATTTCCCTAACTTCAAATAATCAAGGAGGCTTTACCTCAAAGCGTTCATCTTCACAACGATAGATATGTTCTTCATACTGAGTTTTCTTGGAACTAACAAAGGTGGAGTCTTCAGACCAGGAAGGGAAGGAAACCCAGGTATCATTTAAAACCTTTGTGGATAATAAAAGAGAAATTGAAACAAAAGTGTAACAAAGCTTTCTATTCTCAATAAAAAGACAAATTCTAAAAGAAGAATCATTTAGCATTACAAGCTTCAAGTATGCAAAATATATTAGAATAAGGAAAAGGTTCTAAATATGAGCGTAAAACATTAAAACTGAAGGGTTCCGGGTTTATTAAAAAAATGTTTATTAGAAAATGTTTTGCTCAGTGGAGAGAGCTTCAGCCTGCAGACTGGAGGGTCCCGCGTTCAATTCCAATTAAGGACACATGCTCGGGTTGTGGGATCGATCCCCAGTAAGGGGCGTGCAGGAGGCAGCCAATCAATGATTCTCTCATCATTGATGTTTCATTTTCCTCTCTGAGATCAATAAAAATATTTTTAAAAATTAGAGAAGGGTCTTGATTTCTTCAATGATATAAATTCTTGATCCCTAGGACCATTCCCTTCCAGAGAAAGTTGCGGTTTCAGGGTTGTTCCTTTCTGGGGAAGGCCTTACCTCTTTACAGAGAGGAGTCCGTCCTGTACACTTAGGCTGCTGATAACTCTTTGGGAGGGCTCGGTAGCTGGAACCCAACCGTTTACAAGAGGCATAATCTATTTCCATAGCAATGCCCTCTGTAGCTCGTTCCTTTGGAAAGGTTTCCAAATGTACAGACTCCTTATAGCCCAGAAAGTTTTTAAACCAATTAAATAATTCAGGAAATTTCCTAAAAAAATCAAACCAAAAACTGGTAAGCAATTAATTAGAAGCATTATGCAGTTATTTTGAGATTTGAGTACCACTATTTGGTGTTAGGTTAGAACTCTGCTAACAAGAACAAAGCCCAATCATTGCTTCTAAGCATTTGGCTTCCCCTTTTCTTACAGAGTGCTCTACAGTCAGATAAGGTGGTGATAGAAGACTGCACTGAAATCAGATAAAGCCAACTATTATTCTAACCAAGGATATTGTTTCAGTATTAAGATCATTTTTAGGTTGTCAAATACAATCAAGATTCTAGAACCCTGGAATAGACTAGTCTCTATAACATCCTACACTGATCAGGGGATCAGGAGTCTACCACTAGTGCTAGCCAATGGCCTATTTTTTTCAGCTTTATAGCGGAAATAGAAGAATTCCCATAAGCCGAAACCGGTTTGGCTCAGTGGTAGAGCGTCAGTCTGCAGACTGAAAGGTTCCAGGTTCGATTCCGGTAAAGGGCATGTACCTTGGTTGCGGGCACATCCCTGGTAGGGGGTGTGAAAGAGGCAACTGATCGATGTTTTTCTCTCATCGTCTCTCTCCCTTCCTCTCTGTAAAAAATCAATAAAATATGTTAAAAAAAAAAAAAAAAAAGAAGAATTCCCATAAGACTCACATCATATGAGCCAAATGACCTAATACAATCACATTAATTTTACCTATCATATACTCTCACAAACTAAGTTTATTTCAATTACATATCATGCATCAGAGCTAAGCCCCTTCAACTCTACTTACCCCAGGAAAGGAGAGACTAATTGCACAAGCTCAGCCCGAGAGATCACCTCCTGGTTAAAGATAACAAGACAGCGCAGGAAATTTTCATAGGCCTCTGCATTCCGCAGAGCCTTTCGAACCTTATGGAGACAATCAAAAGAGAATGATTATAAAATTATTTTAATATCCAAAAATTTTTAAATGTTCAATGGCATAGACAAAGTAAAACTAGCCTGGCTAGATGAGCAAGCTGAAGTTTTAATTTCAGAAGTAAGTATTTAGCAACTGTGTTCTTTTATTGGAGGATTGCAGACCATGTGGTTTTATCAACCTCTTCTCCAGGCTCCCATCTACTTTTCATAACTACCAATCAGTAAACACAATATAAAATATCTACTTTCATGCCCTAACTGGTTTGGCTCAGTGCATAGGATAGAGCATCAGCCTGCGGACTGAAGGATCCCAGGTTGGATTCTGGTCAAGGGCACATGCCTAGTTATGGGCTTGATCTCCAGTAGGAGACGTGCAGGAGGCAGCTGATCAATGATTCTCATCATTGATGTTTCTCTCTTTCCTTCTCATTTCCTCTTGGAAATCAATAATGATATATTTAAATAAATAAAATAAAATATCTACTTTCAAAGCCAAAAGTAAAAGAGCACTTCACTGTTGTACTCTATACCCTTATTGACTTTTAATTTTTATTAGCTTTTAACATACAAAGAGTAGACAGAATAGTCTAATGAACCCCATATACTCATCCAGCCGAATGTTCAAATGTACAGTAAATTTGGTTTCATTTAAACCATTTCCCAACCAATGAATTTTAAAGTGAATTCCAGACATTTCATCCACACCTAACTCAGTATATATTTCCAAGAAAGAAGTACTCAAAAACAACAAAAGCCCTGGCCAGTAACTTGATTAGAGCATCATCCCAGGTTGTGAGTTGATCCCTGGTAAGAGTACATGCAAGAACCAACCAATGAATGTACAGATAAATGGAACAACAAATCAGTATTTTTCTCTCTCTCCTCCTCTAAAATCAGTAAGTGAAAAAAAACAAACAACCACATTCCTCTTTAAAAATTGAACTCATTTTGTCCCCCACCCCCACTCCTTCCTTGCCATTTGTTGGTTGTGACCTGAATTTCTTCATTTGTCTTAGATTAGAAGCATCAAGCGCCCAGGCAGCCCTCAGAAATGAATCAAGTCAGAGCCTCGACTTTTTGCAGAAAGTTCACACAGGCACAGCAGGCTTGAGGGAGATGAGATGAAGAGGCACCAATCATGGAGATACTAAGTCATTAGCCCTTTTGCAAAAACCCACAATTACAAGACAGGGTAAGTCACCAGCTCCTGCCAGTGAGAAGTCTGACAGTTCCAGCCACCCTATGAAAGTAAGCCTACTAATCATCAAGTTGACTTCAAGGAGGAAGTCAAACACACACACACCCCCAGCCTAAAACACCATTTAAACCAGTGATCACAATTTCAGGCTGTTCATTAGAATCACCTGGGGAGCTCTGAAAACTAAATCAGAATCTCCAGGAATTCTATACGTGATTCTGAAAATAGGTATCACAAGCAATTAGAAGATTACAAGTCATCTTAAGTCTTCCACAACTGGTGCACCAACACTCGCCAATGTACAGGCCTGAGCACCTGCAACAGGGGACTCCAAAAACCTTTTGAGAGTATTTATTATCATTTATTTTATCAAAGCTGTCTTCCACCATGGAAAATGCAGTATTTTGTTGCAAACCATTTCACAAAATCAAATCAGACAATGCTATAATTTCTCTAGCACTGAAAGGACCTACAACTTATAAACCATGCCAAAAAGTAGAAAGCCCTAATCAGCTTGATGCTTCTAAAAAAAAAATCCTGAGGATAGTGATTTTCTTTTGGTATTAATGGTCGATATTAAATCTAATTCATTCATTTACTCACCTTATCAAAAAATAATGATTCAGTTCCTACGCCATGCTTGCTGGCATCTGCCATAGAAGAATCCTTTAGACTGAGAAGTTTGGGTTTCTTCTGCAAAAATAGGAAAAATACAAACATGCTAAAATTTAAAGGGTGGATTCCTCTATTATTTTCACATGTTCAATGGTTTCCTTATTAACCAATGCTGATTAATAATTTGCAACAAATGAGAGAATTCAAGTCCTAACTTGCTTTACACCCTACAAGATTTCCACCTGTCTTCTCTATTTGTTTAACTGTCATTTTTTCCTCCTGAGGATCATTCTACTCCTCAAATATTCTCTCTACTTTTCCCATGGGCCAAAAGTATGAAGGCAGAAGAGGATGTTTGTGAATTCATAAAGAGAATATAGTTTACTTTTCTAATAAAAGAAATAACTATCTTGTCAGCAATATCCATTCAGATCAATTTAAAACTGGCCTTTTGTTTTTTGTTAATCCTCACTGGAGGATATTTTTTCCAGAGATTCTTAAGAGAGAATGAAAGGGAAGGAGGGAGGGGAAAAGAAAGGGATGGGAAGAAGGGAGAGAAAGAGGGATGGATGGAGGGAGAGAGGGAGAGAAACATTATGTAGGCTTATCAATTGGTTGCCTCCTGCACAAGCTGCAATCGAGACAATGTGCCCTTGACCGGAATTGAACCCATGACCCTACAGTCCAATGCAAACCTCTCACCATTGATCCAAACAGGCTAGGGCAAGACTGGTTTTTTTTTTTAAAGGAAACTAATAGGACATGACATAAGTGTCGGGCAAAATTTACTTTTTTTAAAAAAGGAAGGCATTTTCTTTTTAAAATTGATTTTAGAGAGAGTTACGAGGAAAGAAACATCAATTGGTTGCCTCCCACACTTTCCCCAACAGGGGATCAAACCCGCAATCTGGGTATGTTCCCTGACCGGGAATCAAATCTACCTTTTGGTGTATGGGACAATGCACAAACCAACTGAGCCACCTAGCCAGGGCAAGAATTTACGTTTAAAAAAGCTACATCTCAACTATCTGTGAAGAAACACACAAACTCTGGGAAAAACAGCACATTTACCTTTGTCATTCCAGAGCTCACTCACTGAGGAGCCACAGCCACTGCTCACACTGCCTAAGCAAAAAGTAGGGAGGGAGTTCTAATCCCAATGTAGTGTTTCCACCTGTGGGTAATCATGTGTAGAAGACAAGCTCACAAGTGGAACAGATCTGTTGACCTGCTTGCTACTCATTACGACAGCTAATAACAAAGAAAGATAAAATCATTAAAAACTCAAAAAACAATAGTGCCCTGGCCAGTGTTCTCAATGGTTTGAGCATTGGGCTGCTCATCAAAGGATCTCCCCAATTTGATTCCGTCAATAGCAGGTACCTGGGTTGCAGGTTTGATTCCCAGACCTTGTTGGGGCATGTGTAGGAGGCAACCGATGTGTCTCTCTCACATCGATGTTTCTTTCCCACTTACTCCACTCTCCTCTCTCTCTCTAAAAAAAAAAAAAAAAAAAAAAAAAAAAAAAATCTATTCTCGGTTGAGGATTAACAACATAAAAGCATATTGATCTGAGTAATTAGTGGTATTCTAACATTTTTTTTGCAAAGCTTTGCATTAAGTTTCTATGCCATACACCCTCACTCTGAATATCCAAGATCCAACTGACTACATGCTTAGGATAAAAACACATGACCAACCCTGTCCACTAGAATTGCTTCTGAAAGTCAAAATGAGCAGCTGCTGCTCATTCTCACCTTCACCGGAGGGGTGGTTCCTGTTCCAGAGTGCCTCCGGATCTGGCAGCCATTCTGGCTGGGCCTCTGCGGCTTGTTGTTCAGTTGGGGCTTCTTCACCGTGCCTCCATGGTCATTTCTCACAGAATCAACCTTTTCCGCAGTTGTTTTGCTTAAAAGCTAATTAAGACACATGAAAGAGATTAATGCTGTCATTAAAGCAAGTATCATTTAGAAAAAGTTCCCTTCTGACTCCAGTTTCCTAATTCATCTAAGAAAATAATTCTAAATAGTGTAGTTCTTCTAAATAAAACTTACCACAGAGCTGTTGGCATCTGGTAAAAATTGTCCAAACTCTGACAACAGATCTTCTTGATTTTTAAAAAGACGAGCCACCTGGGCATAAACCTCCTGCTCAGTCAATGCTGGAGTGTAGTTTCCTCCAGCTTCCTTGGCATTTCGCTGCTCTTTCTGACAAATTGCAAATGGAAGAGATCATATTGGAGGAGCACTGATTTGGATGACTCACTTTTGCACATTTTTTAAGACTTTTGACAAGAGCTCTGTATGTCACCTACTTGAGCTACATTTGAAAATGTCTATACTTTTAGCAACTGTTTTGACTGCAAACTTCAAGGTGAGAAAGTGTGGAAAATGGTGGCTGACAATTTCTTTTTAAAACATTTAAAATGAATATGTGAATTCGCAGAGGACCACTATCAATTGATAAAACACAAAAAAATTATAGAGAAATTTCTCCTTATACAAGTCATCCTATAAACTTTCCACGTAAATAAGTATTCATTTCACAGGGCAGTAACTTTAAAAATGCTGACTACCTACTATAAGGTAATTAAAGACAAGCAATCAAATGCTTTATAAGTACATATCATAAGTTTCCAACTGGTTCATTCTTAGTAAGAATTAGGAGACACAATAATATTTATTCAATTTCTTCTTGGACTAGATGCCCTCAGAGGATGACCTGGTTAAGACAGGATGAAAGGGTAACTCTCTTACCTGATATGTGTGCAAAATTTCCAGGAATGCTTTGTAGATGTCTGGTTGGCCCTGGAACCTGTTCTTGATCTTATTAACATAGTTGATAGCATGATTAAACTCCACAGGCTGATTGTTCTGCAAGGATGGGGCCGTTCCCAACGAGATTGTCACTGGTGTATGAGGTTGGACAGGTGGAGAGCGTGGGGATGCGTATGGTGGGAGTGGGGGGGTCTGCTGGCTGGCGGGAGTATGTGCTTGTAGTTGGGAAGGCTAAAAAAAAAAAAGTCTTTATTCTCCTCAGGAACAGATGATTTGACATAGGAAAGTTTGAACTAAAGAGAAACAAGGTGTCTGATAAACTTATATTCTTTATTCACTCTGGCCAGGCCATTTCAGGCCATCTCAAATCACATTGGGCAGTGTGGGAAGTGTAGAGGGCTTACAAGTCCCATACAAATATTTCAGTCTCAAAATTTCTAAATACAGCCTTAAAAATAGATACAGGGAAGGACTTTTCACATGCCATTTTAAGTATACTAACTCAATAGGTGCAAGAAGGATAGGAAAAAAAAACAAAAACAAACCCTCATTCTACATGTATCTTTAGTGTCAAAAGAGACAATTTAATGTTACAGTAACTCCACATCAAAGTCTTGTATACCAGCTCTGTCCAACAGAACTCTGATGATGGAAATGTTCTTTATTTACACTATCCTGGACAATACCCACTAGCCATATGAGACTACTGAGTACTTAAAATGCGGCTAGTGCAACTGAAAAATTGAATTTAATTAATTTAAATTTATATATAGTCACATGTGGCTACTGTATCAAACAATGCAGTTTTAGATAAAGTACACCCATTATTATTATCATTGTCATCAGATTTTTCAGCTTAACTTGATTATGACCTAGTCTGGCAAATGGAGTAGCCTCTGTAAAATGATGACAATGCAGCCAATAGCATAATCTGTTCATAAGATGTCCATTTCTGCCTGTGCTATCAAAGTACCACTCACTACCCAAGCAAAGTTTCTACCTATTGGGGTGCTCTTGGTTCAATGAGCATAAGCAGGGGACAAGAGAGTCCTTGTAGGTTGTTCATGTCTTAATTTAAACAGATCTAAATATGTGGTATGTAAATGTGAACCATTTGATAGGGATGTGATACTGCATCTTCTCTGATGAAATCACTGAAATATGTCCATTTAGTCTTATATAAAGGGGAAATGTCAAAAGAGAGTGCTTTCTAGGGATGCATTTCATGTAATGCAAAGTATTCCAAGTGCTCACCTTGCTGACTTTGGCAGGTGGGGGCTGAGGAGCTGGCTGGGCAGGACCTGGGGCTGACTGGGCTGAAGACTGGGAAGGATGTTGGGGTGGTGGTTGAGGCTGGGGCTGGATGCCATGGGTGGGAATCTGATGGACCTGGCCAGGAGTTGTCACATTCACCATGTCATTGGGGTGCACCTCAATCTTGTAGCCAGGAGGCAAGAAGGTATTGAAGCCCATGATCAGGTCTGGATGGCCTTTGAAGAGCTGGGACACACGATTTATCACTCCTGGAGTGTCAATGCTGATAAAAAAAAATGAAATTGGCAAACTTGAGAAGCACTCTAGTAAGAAAAAAAAAAAAAATCACACTGACTACATTCTTTAGACAGGAAAAGAGATAAAAATCAATCTGTGTATTACAAAATTAAGAACATACAAAGAAATTTGCAATTTCAAAGACATTTGGTCACAATTTTGAACAGAATATACATTCATTAACAGTCCTATCAAGCAGATACTCAGACAGTAAATCTAAAGCTGCAATTTCCAAGTAATATCCAACACGTGATACACCAGTATAAATTATCATGTATCTACATTTTCCCAATTAATTTAGTTACATTCTTAAAACAATGAACCATGCCAGAATATTAGTGTATCCAAGTCAAAGAGCAAGTAGCCTAATCATTACCCATCTACTCCCTTGTTTTGCAATGAAATCCTAAGAAAATCTTAGTTAAAATTTTCATAGGAAGAAAATAAAGATCTAGGTACTATAATTATCATCAATAAATCAACACATAAATTAAAGCATTACCCTGAAAATTAACCCCCCAAAAGGGACATCCATTATCTTTTAGAAGACGAGAATAAGCTATGTCCTCCCTTCAAAATCAACATTCTAAGCACAAAGCTTGTGTACAACTATATATATCTTTTACCTCTGTGATTTAAATTCCTTCATGATGTCAAGGAAATCATTGTAGACCTGAGGCTGACTACCAAACTGCAGCTTCACCTGGTCAAGATAGGACAGTGCATCCTCCACCTGAAGTAGGTTATAAAAAGAAAATAAGCCAAGAATTAGAAAAAAACAAACAAATGATTTATACCTAAATAAAATTAACATAGTAAATTAAATAGGAATATATAGTAAAACATAAAAGTATTAAAAATTAGTATGGATATCCAATCTAATAAAAGAGTGATATGCAAATTAACCATCACTCTGCTACACCCACAAGTCATGCCCACCAGCCAATCAGGAGCAAGTATACAAATTAACCCAACCAAGATGGCTGTGGCCACGGAGAGAGCAGGAGGCTTGGGTTTCCCTGGCAATGGAGGAAGCCAAGCTTTCCACACACCCTGGTGGGCCCAGGCCTCCACTCAAGGCTACAAAGTTTCAATTATAGAAGATAAATAAATCCCAACAAAAATGATGGCAGCCATGGAGCTGGAGAGAGCAGGAGGCTTGAGTTGCCCCTGGCAATGGAGGAAGCTCAGCTTTCTGCACATCCTGGTGGGCCCAGGCCTCCACTTAAGGCTACAAAGTTTCAATTATAGAAGATAAATCAATCCCAAATACCAGGGCCTCTGCTTGGGTCCCTGGGGGACATGGCCGGCCTGCAAACCACATCAGTCCCCTCACCCAGGCTTCCCCCCAACCCTGATCCGGGACATCCTTCAGGGCAAACCACCTGGTCCCCATCCATGCACCAGGCCACTATCCTATCTAATAAAAGAATAATATGCAAATTGACCATCACTCAATGTGGTCAAAGATCCTGCCCCCATGTAGACACAAGATGGCCACCAAAGATGGCCAGCAGGGGAGGGTAGTTGAGAGGGTCCAGGCCTGTAAGGAACGGCAGTTGGGGGTGATCAAGCCTGCAGAAGAGGGCAGTTAGGGGGTGACCAGGCCTGCAGGGAAAGGGCAGTTGGGGGGGACTCAGGCCTGCAGGAGAGAGCAGTTGCAGGGGGGACCAGGCCTGCAGGGAAGGGCAGTTAGGGGCAAACAGGATGACAGGGGAACAGTTAGGCATCAATCAGGCTGGCATGGGAGTGGTTAGGGGGTGAACAGGTTAGCAGGCAGGAGCGGTTAGGGGCAATCAGGAAGGCAGGCAGCTCAACAGTTGGGAGCCAGCAGCCCTGGATTGTGAGAGGGGTCCCAGATTGGAGAGGGTGCAGGCTAGGCTGAGGAACACACACCGCCATGCACAAATTTCATGCACTGGGCCTTTAGTCATTAATAAAACACAAGCTTCAAATAAAAATCCAGTAGCCTTGCCTTGGATACTTTTGGAAAAAATGGTTAGTGAAGCACACACATGAATATCTCATTCACTTATTTGTTTGTTTATTCATCTTACAAATATCAACTAAAGCTACAACAGGCTATATACTAGGCCCAAAGTGGAATACTAATGAATCAATGACAAAGAAGCCACAGTCCCTGCTCTACAGAAGTTCTATCACATCTAGCTGGGCATCCTAACAGTTATATAAGGGGACAATCTCTGAACAAAGAGAAATGAGAAGAGCACAAAGGTTTTCCCATGAAGTAATTTGTAAACTGAGTCTTAAGGATGAATACAAGTTAGCAAAAGTGAAGACTCATGAAAAAGTCAGAGGAAACACCATGGGCAAAATCCCAGACAGAATACTAGTTCAACTGGAAAACTATAAACAATTTACTTTGGGAAAGGGAGGGAAGAAGAGACTGAACATAAACTGTGCACCTATGGATGAGGACAGTGGGGGATGGGGAGGGGGCGGAGGCTGGGGTGGGAACCTGGTGGAGGGGGGAAGAAATGAGGAACCTTTGTAATAATATGAACAATAAAGATTGATTTAAAAAAATAATAATAAAATTTAAAAAATTTAAAAAAATGTAATAAGATTTGAAAAAACTCAAAAAAAAAACAAAAAAAAACCCAAAACAAAACAAAACAATTTACTTTGCCTGGAGGATTTGTGTTAAGAGGAGGAATGGTGGCGAGAAGAGTGACAGGAGACAAGAGGAGACAAGAGAGGAAGCAGAACCTGATCCTAAAAGGCCTTTAAAACTTGTTAGAAAGCAATTGAGATTGTTATTTGCATTTTAATGTATTCAATTTGGCTATAGTGCTGAGACAAATTGGTGCAAGGGCAGGATAGATTGAAAGGAGGCAGGAAAACCAGTTATGCTCCAAGGTTAACTCACATGTGAACAATAGTTGTTCAAATCATAGTCCTGACCAAAGGAACAGGGAGTACTGAATAGATTCAAAAGTTTTGTAGGGCTGAAACCGGTTTGGCTCAGTGGATAGAGCGTTGGCCTGCAGACTGAAGGGTCCCAGGTTCGATTCCGGTCAAGGGCATGTACCTTGGTTGCCGGCACATCCCCAGTAGGGGGTGTGCAGGAGGCAGCTGACCAATGATTCTCTCTCATCGATGTTTCTGACTCTCTATCCTGCTCTCTTCCTCTCTGTAAAAAAATCAATAAAATATATTTAAAAAAAAAGTTTTGTAGGACTCAGAAATGACAGGGACTGGGGACTGACTGAATAGGGAAAAGGAAGATTCACTAAATTATAAATTATTTGGGCATTTGCAAAGAGAAACAGTTTGAAGGGCTAGAAAATTATGAGTCTGATTTAGAACAACTTACTTTTTACTTAGGAGATATCCAAGGAAATTACCTACTAAGTGCTTCCTATATACTCTGGGATTTTTTTTAAACTAGAGGCCCAGTGCATGAAATTTGTGCATGGGAAAGGGAGAATTTGGAGGGAGGGGTTCCCCCCTCAGCCCAGCCTGTACCCTCTCCAATCCGGGACGTCTTGGGGAATGTCCAGCTGCCAGTTTAGGCCTCATCACAGATATCGGGCCCAAACTGGCAATCAGACATTCCTCTCACAATCCAGGACTGCTGGCTTCTAACCGCTCACCTGCCTGCCTGCCTGATTGTCCCTAACTGCCCCTCACCCCCCCGCCACCAGCCTGATCACCCCTAACTGCCTCTGCCTGTCAGCTTGATTGCCCCTAACTGCCCCCCTTTAGCAGCCTGGTCACCCCTCACTTCCCCTTATGCTGGCCTGGTCGCTCCTAACTCCCCTTACTCCCCGCCCCTGTTGGCCTGGTTGCCCCTCGCTGCTCTCCCTGACCACGCCAGCCTGGCCGCCACCCCAGGCAGCCTGCTGTTCAGTCATTTGGTTGTCCCTCACTAACCCCCTAGTGGCCTGGTTGCCCCATACAGCCTGCTGTCCGGTCCTTACTATGAGGGCGTCCTGTCCGATTTGCATATTACCCTTTTATTAGTATAGATTATACAAACTATCAAGTTTAGGAAAGTTGTAAAAATAAACTGATTTGATAAACTCATGATAAATATTGTGAATTAGAACATTTATGTTCAAATAAATCATTAAATGACATCTCAAGAGTTGCCCAAACTTCCAAAATGGCCAAAGTTAATCAGTTATTTCAGTGTTGCTAGAGCACAGATTATATGCTTGGTTGATACACATTCATTTGATGGCTGGTTTTTCTTTACACATAGCATGACAATTTCTATTGAAATTCAATAAACTAATTCATATTCAGAATTTTCCATATTGAAATGTTTCACTAATAACAAATTGATGGAATATAAAACTCATTAAGTTTGCAGAAGGAACAAAGACTTTGGAAGATATTTTAAAATAGCATTCACAATCATAAGACAAAGGAGGAATTATCAAAAATAAACAAACACCAGCCCTACCCGGTTTGGCTCAGTGGATAGAGCATTGGCCTGCGGACTGAAGGGTCCCAGGTTCGATTCCGGTCAAGGGCACATGCCTGGGGTTGTGGGCTCGATCCCCAGTGGGGTCGTGCAGATGGCAGCCAATCAATGACTCTTACTCATCATTGATGTTTCTCTCTCTCTCTCTCCCTCTTCCTTCCTCTCTGAAATCAATAAAAATATATTTTAAAAAAATAAACATCAAAAAAGTTAAAGTTAAAAAATAAATAAAGAAGCACAGTATGGTATAATGTAATTACAAAAGAAAGAAAAAGTGCAGAAACCCAAAGGAAATTATATATGATGTGTATATGTTTGGAAGAAAGGTATAGGTAATAGTAAACTCCTATTTAAAAATTAGATATAAAAATTAGATATAAAATGACACTATGCTTAAAAAAAAGAGCTATGACACCACATTATGAGATAACTGCACATAAAAAGAGTATGGAAATTCTCTTACTCCCTAAAGTACAGTTCAAAAGCAAATATGCAGTTCTAGAAACCACAACTTAAAAAAACAAATCCACACATTTGGAACTAGTTATTTAGAAACTACACATTTAAGGAGACACTAGAGAAGAGACTCTTAAAGAGTCTTCCTGATTCACTTCAATAGAAATTTATTAAGGTCCCTAACCTCCTGAAGTTTATAAGTTTATTGGGAGGGGAGAAAACATGAACTGTAAAGAGAGCTCACTAAACATGTGCCAAATATCAATAAATAACTAAAGCACAGCAAGCAAGCCTCAAATTACTCAAATCTTCCATCAATATGCCAAAGACAAAAAAGTATAGACAGTGTTGGTGCTTGAAATAGCCTACACTGCACTAGCTGGTTTGGCTCAGCAGATAGAGCGACAGTCTGTGGACTGAAGGGTCTTGGGTTCAATGCTTCTGATCAAGGGCACGTACCTCAGTTGTAGGCTCCTCCCTGTCCCTGGCTTGTGCAGAAGCCAACCAATCTGTGTTTCTGTCACATCGATATTTCTATCTGACTTTTCCTCTCTCTTCCCTCTCTCTAAAATATCAATGGAAAAATATCCCCAGGTGAGGATTAAAAAAAAAAGAAAAAAAGAAAAAAAATATGTTTAAAATAATTAATTTAAAAAAAAAAAAAGAAATAGCCTATGCATTCTCACTGGACACTTCCTTATTACAGAATATAAACTGTTTGCTGAAGTGGATTCAATGCTCATAAAGTTTTTATTTGTTTGTTTTTTTCTTAACATATTTTATTGATTTTTTACAGGAGGAAGAGAGAGGGATAGAGTTAGAAACATCGATAAGAGAGAATCATCGATCAGCTGCCTCTTGCACACCCCTCATTGGGATGTGCCCGCAACCAAGGTACATGCCCTTGACTGGAATCGAACCTGACATCTTTCAGTCCGTAGGCCAACACTCTATCCACTGAGCCAAACTGGTTTCGGCGCTCATAAAGCTCATCCAAAAATGGCAGTCAATGTGAGAATACTGAATGAAATTACATGAAGGCACAAGAAAGGATTTATCCCTCCTCATTAGAAAGAAAATGCAACAAGTTACTGTGTTCAGGAATCCCATTCAAGTGTTTGTAGAGGGTGGGGGAAATGGGAGTCCTAATATATGGTGATAGGTGAAGATTTGACTTTGGATGGTAGGCAATATATAAATCTTGTAACATAGGAACCCAAACCTGAAACCTGTATGTTCATGTTGACCAACGTCACCCCAATAAATTTAATTTAAAAATGCAAAAGTTAAAATAAAATAAAAAGGTAGGTAAATAAAAAAGCTTGTAACTAAAAAAAAAAAAAGAGCAAAAGTCCTAACTCGACCCGACTACAAAGGCTTTTCTTGCTTCCGTTACAGTTTCTGTAAAACAGATAAAGCACAGACTATTTATACCTCGGTGAGGAAGGTAAAATAGGTGTTGTGCTTTGATAGAGCCGGTTGACAAAAGCTATAAAAATAAATACATTTTCATTAGCTTAATAGCAAGATTATAAGCTCTTTTTCAACATTAGTAATTAACTGCTGGAATTAAATCACATCAAACCAACTTTTACAAAAATATTTTCAGAGCTTGATTAAGTGCTAAGTATAGTAATAATACATTTTGGTACATAGACATCACTCTATAAGCAGAGAGTTACAATGTTATAAGGAAAATAACAATATAGCTAATAAGTATTTCCCCAAAGACAGAGCCCATAAATAATTTGTACTCTCTTTAAAGAGTCTGCTTAAATACAGTCAACTCTTCATTACTTAAAGTAATATAGAAAATGTAAATTTTACAAAGTCCTTCTATACAGCTCAGCTTTAATGTGCTTTATATTTAGATAGCATTTACTTTCCTTAGGTCAATAATAAGCACTAGAAGCCTGGTGCATGAAATTTGTGTGTGGGGGAAGGGTCCCTCAGCCTGGCCTATGCCTCTTGCAGCCCAGGAGCCCTCAGGGGGATGTCGGACATCCTTAGCACTGCTGCGGAGGCAGGAGAGGCTCCTGCCACCACCGCTGTGCTTGTCAGCCGTGAGCCCAGCTTCTGGCTGAGCAGCACTCCCCCTGTGGAACACGCTCACCACCCGGGGACAGCTCCTGTGTTAAGTGGGATCCGGCTGAAACCAGTTCTGACATTCCCCAAGAGTCCCAGATTGCAAGAGGGTGCAGGCCAGGCTGAGGAACCCCACCAGTGCATGATCAGGGCCAAGGAGGGACGCGGGAGGTTGGCCAGCCAGGGAGGCAGAAGAATTCCAGGGTATTTCTGGCCCATCTCAATCCTTATCGGCTGGATGCCAGTAGAAGCTGACTACTGGTCAGAGCATCTGGCCCCTGGTGATCAGTGCACGTCATAGCAAGTGGTTAAGTGGCCTTAGTATATCATTAGCATATTACACTTTGATTGGTTAAATGGATGACCGGATGCTTAGCTTATTAGGCTTTTACTATATAGGAAGTTCCTGAGAAACTTAGCCAAGGAGAACAAGATCAGGGTGAACTTGACTAAGTATCAAGGAAAACAGAAGGCTGAGATATTTGCTAAACATAATGTATCTTTCAAGGATATACTATACATTCCTACCTTTAAGCTACTTAATATATTAAGACTGATTGGACCAAATAAACATCCAACATCTTTCTTTTCTTTAATTTTATATTTTCTGCACTCAAGTTTACGCTTTATAGAAATGTTAAAAAAAAAAAATGGAACATTTGCAGCAACAATCACACACATTCTAAAAAATAACACTCAAGCAGAGAGTGAAAATTAGCTGGGAATACAAACTTCACTTCTCCACAGATGCCTCATGAATTTCAAAGCACTGAAAACCTATAGCACATATCCTGGCCAACGGTGTGTCTCAGTTGGGCCTCATCCCACACACTGAAAGATTGCTGGTTGATTCTGGGTCAGGGCATATTCCCAGGTTGCAGGTTCAATCCTTGGTAGGAGGCATGCAGGAGGTAACCAACCAATGTTTCAAAATTTCCCTCTCACATGGATGGATCTCTCTCTCTCTCTCTCTTTCAAAAACAATAAAAATATTTTTTAAAAAAAGAACTAAAGAGTTCAAAATGAGACTTCTAAAAAATGGACTATGTTGATTTCGTATACAAATGGCCCCTCAATCCTGATCCGAGTGCCATGCATTCATAAATTCCAGAAATGTTTGTTGCGTGCTATGAGAGAAACTTTTTGATAGAAGGAAAAGAGCTGAATACCACCTTGAGCCTCTGAAACTGCTGCTGTCCCTGTACTGGTGCAACTGGTGGGGCTGGATGAGCATGACTCTGGACCACCTGGCCTCCGTGGGGCTGCACAGCTGTTGGGTGATGATGGCTGCTATGAACCGCTGCTATGGTGGGTCCATGACTGCCACCAGAGCCCGGTGGCACAGCTGAAACCTGGGATAGACAAAATAGATACAGGAAAGGTCAAGGCTTGTGTATTCTTGCCGAAATGTGTCGAAAGAACACACATACACAAAGATAACTAGAAACTCAAATTTTCCACAAGATGAAATTGGTGAAATAAACTATAGCATACTCATTATAATATCTATGCATTCTGTTAGGTATTACATAACTCAGTACTTCTCAAACTATCTGTTTTCCTTTTTCCTTTTTTCTTTTTTCTAATATATTTTTATTGATTTTTAAGAGAGAAAGGGAGAGAGATAGAGAGCTAGAAATGTCGCTGAGAGAGAACCATCGACCAGCTGCCTCTTGCACACCCCCTACCGGGGATGTGCCCGCAACCAAGGTACATGCCCTTGACCGGAATCGAACCTGGGACCTTTCAGTCCGCAGACCGACGCTCTACCACTGAGCCAAACCGGCTTCGGCTGTTTTCCTTTTTTCTTAAATTACAATCCATCATGGGTTGTTATTTTTACAAAATACAGTAAAAATGGCCCTGGCCAGCATTGCCTGCTGGTTAAAGCATCGGCCTGTGCTCTAAAGGGTTGCAGGTTTGATTCCTGGTCAGGGGCACATATGTACCTGGGTTACAGGTCCAAACCCTGCCCCTAGTCAGAGCATGTGTGGAAGGCAACCAATCGATGTGTCTCTGTCACATAAATGTTTTTCTCGCGCCCTCCTTTCCATTCTCTCTCTTAAAGTCAAGGGAAAAATATCTTCACTCGTCAGGTGAGGATTAAAAATAAATAAGTAAATAATAAAAAATAAAGTAAAAATGGATTACTGGAAAAGTGAAATAAAAAATTCATCAGCCCACAATTTTCACTATTGGATTTTACAGACATAAAATTACAATGTCTAGTCACTATAAAAGTTTCTAAACACTAAATTTCTACTTACACAGGAACTGCCCACAAAGCAGGCCTTGATCGCCTGGCCTGATCGGGGCCTTCCGGCCAACCTCTTGTCCCTCCCCCCTGGCCAGTAGGCTCTGATAGCGCGATGGTTACGGGGAACTGGGGGTGGGTGGCCCCAGACTCGGGCAACACTTGGCCAAGGTGGATGTGAGCAAGCGGGGCTTGACTGCCCCACCGGTTGCCCCCCACAAAGAGGGCAATCAGTGTTGGCGATGAGGGACTGCTAGGGAAGATCGGCCCTTATCTCAGGCCAGGCGAAGGGACCCTACCTGTGCACGAATTTCATGCACCAGGCCTCTAATATTTTATAATATTAAAAAATGTTCACACTCTAGTAGAGGGTAAAGGAAAACAAATATATGATGACAAAAGATTTGAATTTGGATGATGGGCACACAATGCAATATACAGGTATAGCTGTATCCTATATAATTTAATTAGCCAATGTTACCTCAATAAATTTAATTAAAAAAAAAAAATGTTGCCCTAACTAGTTTGGCTCAGTGGATAAAGTGTCGACCTGCAGACTGAAAGGTCCCAGGTTTGATTCCAGTCAAAGGCATGTACCTTGGTTGCGGGCACATCCCCAGTAGGAAGTGTGCAGGAGGCAGCTGATCCATGTTTTTCTCTCATCGATGTTTCTAACTCTCTATCCCTCTCCTTTCCTCTCTGTAAAAAAGCAATAAAATATATTTTTAAAAATAATACCTTTAAAAAAAAATGTTCACAATCTGTAAGTTGACTGTAATTGTGTTCCAATTTAATATGAATTTAAACTTTTAAATAATTTTATAAAGCACATTACAAAGCAGTATATAAAATACAATAAAAAGATTTTAAACCCTAGACAAAAAATATACATCAAAATGTTAGCATTTTATCTTGTGGTGGTAGGGTTAGAAAAGAATTTTATTTTGTTTTTTGTTTTTCTTATCCTTATTTGCTTCTAAAATAAAACAAAAAAAAATTTTTTTAATTGTTGGTTTGACCTCACACATTTTTCTTTTATCATTCACATTCATTCTCTTTCTCTCATGCTCTTATAAGTTTAGGGGTGACATAAAAGCACAAGCTGCTTTCCTCCCATTTCTATTACAAAAAATGCTATGTAATATTTACAAAACTTTAAAAAGTTTTCCTATTTCAGAACTGTTAATCACTACAGAAGCCAACTAAAGACAAATATATCTGATGTGCTACATCTCCAAAATAAGGAAAATACATATCATGAAACTTTCTCTGAACAATGTTGTGTCCTAAAACTAAAGAGAAGATATGTGTGGGTTTTTTCTAGTGTCTCCAAAAATTTATAAAGATTAACCTGGGTAGAAATAATACAAATCCACAGAAATATAATATACATTTGGAATATAAAAATATATATATATATTTAAGACAATTCTACAAGCTCTAATATATCTCACAAGTGTTATCATTTTGAGCTTCTAATTCCAATATGAATTGGACAGGTTTCGTTTATAATTCTTTGAGATGGCAAAGAATTATGAATACATTATAATTTCTAGTATAAAAACAGATAAAACGTTATCACAAGCAAAGGAAACAGATAAAAATAATCAGCCAAGGAAAACAAGTAACCTTTTTTCTTCTAAGTCATAACCTTTTTTTCTTCTAAGTCCTAACTTAAAGATTTGATCTATAGCAGTCCTCTGCACTTGAAGTATATAAAGGCCATTATACTGCTTCAAGGGGAACTCCTGAGAAAGAGTGGCACACCTAAGGAAATCACCATATCCTACTTCACCTGGTTTCTCTCTTCTTTGATTGCTTTCTTTAAAAAAAAAAATAAATAAATTATATATATATATATATATATATATATATATATATATATAATTTTATTTTTTTTTCCCCCACAGAGAGGAAGAGAGAGGATAGAGAGTTAGGAGCATAAATGAGAAACATTGATCGCTGCCTCCCACACACTCCCCACTGGGGATATGCCCACAACCAAGGTATATGCCTTTGACCAGAATCGAACCTGGGGCCCTTGAGTCCACAGGCCGACGCTCTATCCACTAAGGCAAACCAGCCAGGGCTGATTGCTTTCTTATAACAACTCCAGAATCTGACACAATTGTCAAACTGTTCTCAAGGTAAATTATACCAATTTATATTCCCAGCACCAGTCATAGCTTTCCTTTTTAAAAAAAATATATTTTTACTAGAGGCCCAGTGCATGAATTTGTGCACAAATGGGGTCTGGCTGGCCTACCCCCTAGTCAAACTCCCAGGCAAGGGGTTAATTTGCAAATTAGCCTTTTATTATATAGGATTGACTTCAGAGAGGAAGAGAGAGAGGGAGAAAGGGAGATAGAAACATCAATGATGAGCATCATTGATCAGCTGTTTCCTGTACGCCCCCCACTAGGGATTGAGCCCAAAACCCGGGCATTGTACCCTTGACCAGAATCAAACCCAGGACCCTTTAGTCCACAGGCCGACACTCTATCCACTGAGCCAAACCAGCTAGAGCACTAGTCATATCTTTTAAAAGTCACTTACAAGTTAGGTTGAAGAAGGCCTTTCCAGACCAGTTAAATAAATTGTGGTTCAGATGACCTGGGATGGAATATTACGTATGCAGTAATTCTTTTAAAAAATTACTTGGGTCTCTACATATATTCAAGTGGAAAGTTGTCTACTATATAATAATGAAAAGAGCAAATAGCAGAACAGTATATACTATATGATACAAATTATGTAAAAAGATAAGTGTATCTAGATAGGTAGGCAGGTAAATATAGATATGTTTGTATATACATACAAAATGTTGGAAACCCAAGAAATACACCAGTGAGATAAAGTTGAGGGGTAATTAGAAAAGGTAATCTATCTTTTTTTTTTTTTGTAATGATTATATTTACTTTCATAATTTAAAAAGATAAAAAAATTAAATTTCTTCTTTTTTGGCAAAATAGATAAAGTTGGTTAGGATGCAGAACAATAGAAATATACAATGTTGACGGAAGTATAAATTCGTACAACTCTGAAAGCCAATCTGACATCACCTGCTAAAGTAAAGATGTGCATACCCTAGGACTCAGCAACCTCTCTCCTATGTATTGGAGCATCTCTTCCTCATGTGCCCTCTTACCTGCTGAGTGGTTTGCAAGAAGATAAAAAGTTTGCACCAAAATGTAAACCAACTACTTTACTAATAAGCACACTATTTAATTCAGCTGCCTTTTTTTACTCAAGTAAGACTCTCTTGATAAAAGTAGTGTGTTCCTTTAGATTCTGGTACAAATTTACTTTGTCACACTGTGAGTACCACTGCACTAGAGAACTACTTACAACATTAACAGTAGCACCTTTATAAAAAATCATAAATGTGGAAATAGACTGATTGTCCAATAACAGAAGAAACTGGATATATTTATATAATTCATAACTGAAAAATTACTTAGTTATCATAAAAATATGGCTATGTCTTGGGAATCACATTGAGTGAAAAAAAGAGCCAAAGAAGCAAATACTCATGTTTTCATTTATGTCAAAGTTAAACAATACCCAAACCAAACAATTTCAGTGTATAGAGCAGTGGTTCTCAACCTTTCTAATGCTGTGACCCTTTAATACAACTCCTTATGTTGTGGTGACCCCAACCATAAAATTATTTTCGTTGCTACTTCATAACTGTAATTTTGCTACTGTTAATGAATCATAATGTAAATATCTGCGTTTTCCGACGGTCTTAGACTATACAGCAGCAGTTCCCAACCTGTGAAAGGCGTCACGACCCACAGTTGAGAACTGTTAGCAGGGTCACACAAGATCATCGGAAAACACATATTTACATTACGATTCATTAACAGTAGCAAAATTACAGCTATGAAGTAGCAATGAAAATAATTTTATGGTTGGGGGTCACCACAACATGAGGAACTGTATTAAAGGGTTGCAGCATTAAAAAGATCGAGAACTACTGGTCTAGAGATATAAACAAAATGACTTAAAAAAAAAAAAAAAAAGCTGAGGAAATGATAAACGCAAACTAAGTTCAGATCAATGACTACCTCTGAAGTGATGAGAAAACGGAAAAGGGGTCAGGAAAAAAAATAGCGAACATCAAGGTCATAACAAACTTTTTCTTTATAAACTTACGTGATGAATACACAACTGTACATTATTTTCATTAATTTTATAATTTACAGATATCTCATAAATACGTTATATCTCACTGAATGCTTAATTAAAACTTCTAACTGCTTGCCATTTGAGCATTGATCTATGAACCAGGAAGTCACGGTTAAATTCCCAGTCAGGGCACATGCCCAGATTGTAGGCCCGTTCCCCTGTAAGGAGCATGCAGGAGGCAGCTGATCAATGATTCTCTCTGATCATTGATGTTTCTATCTCTCTCTCCCTCACCTTTACTCTCTCTGAAATTAATAAAAACATATTTTTAAAAAATAAACAAAACCTTAAGCTGGATGAAACCATCATACTGGCTTGGCGCAGTGCCTTGCAGTACCAGCTCACCTGATAACTGGGAGTGACGGAGTACTGAATGCCTGTGGCTGACTGCATGGTCTCCGCCACAGCTTCATACACAGGAGGGGCAGGGGCAGGGGCGAGCACTCGGTGCTGATGAGGAAAAGCCTCTGTGTTACCAGGGATCCGCCGCTGCTGAGCTGCATACACCGATGATTCTTGATCATCCAAACGTCGCTTCATTCTGCATTCATGCTCAGGGATGCACTAATAACCTGCAGAAACCACAAGTACAACATATACACCAATTCATGCTCCACACCACGTGTACAATTTAGGATCAGAACCCAGATTTAATATAAGCTCCCCCCCTTTGAACCAATTATCTATTTCATCCTAGGGATGATCACTGGGTAGTGTAAGTACATGCTTGTGCACAGATACTCCATATCAACAGGTTATCATAACTGAAAGACAAAATATAATAATTTAAATTAGCTTGGTACTGTAGAGTTGAAAAATAACCTCCAACTTAAAAACACAAATATTGCCGGAATCAGTTTGGCTCAGTGAATAGAGCATTGGCCTGTGGACGAAAGGGTCCTCCTGAGTTTGTTTCCGGTCTAGGGCATGTACATTGGTTTCATGCTCCTCGTTAGCAGGAGACAACCAATCGATGTATTTCTCTCACATCGATAATTTCTTTCTCTTCATGGGTTTGATTCCCTGTCCCTCTCTCTTCTACTTTCCCTAAAATTCAAGTGAAAAAATATCCTCAGGTGAGGATTAACAACAACAACAAAAAAAAAAGACCCTCCACAAAATAAAAACACAAATATATCTTTTTCTCTATTCTCTAGTTTTCTTTTTAAATGCAATCATTCCTAATATTGTGAACTACTTACTCACAAAGAACAAAAATACTGAAGTGTTTTTTGTAGTTCTTCCTAACTCCTCTCAAACCTAGCACTATAACTGTGGTCTAATTTTCAAAGTATCAATGGTATTTTGAAAAGAGTACTGGGGCAGAAATCATGGACTTATGGTTCTAGACTTTCCAATATAAGTTGTTTCAACAAGTTTCTCATTTCATGTGAGTTTGTTTCTCCAGCTATAAAATAAGAAGGTTGAAATAGGTAATTCCTAAGGTTTCTTCTGATTCTAACATTCTTTTTTATTTTTATTTATTTATTTAAAATATTTTTATTAATATTTTACAGAGAGGAAGGAAGAGATAGAGTGAAAAACATCAATGAAAGAAAAATCAATCAGCTGCCTCCTGCACACCCCCTACTGGGGATGTGCCTGCAACCAAGGTACATGCCCTTGACTGAAATGGAACCTGGGACCTTTCAGTCCGCAGGCTGATGCTCTATCCACTGAGCCAAACCGGTTTTGGCCTAACATTCTTTTTTAAATCTATCAAGCTATATATATTTTTTAAAATATATTTTTATTGATTTCAAAGAGGGAGAGATAGAAACATCAATGATGCAATCATCCATCGGCTGCCTCCTGCATGCCTCCTACTGGGAATCAAGCTCCAAACCTAGGCATATGTCCTGGTGGGGAATCAAACTAGTGACCTCCTAGTTCAGTGTTTCCCAAAGTGTGGTACGCGTGCCTCCAGGGGTATGGGAAGAGTTTGGTGGGGATATGCACTGCACCGTGCTTAGCTGCGCCTAATATATATATATATTTTTTTTTTTTATTTATTTATTTATTTATTTATTTATTTATTTATTTATTTATTTTTTGACGAGGGGTACTCAGCGTTACGAAAATTATAGAAGGGGTACACATATGTCAAAAGTTTGGGAAACATAGTCCTAGTTCATAGGTTGATGCTCAACCACTGACCCACACTGGTCACGCTGACTCTAACATTCTTGAACACTAAGGAGGTTCCAGAATCCCTTATTTTTTTTCTTTATTTTTTCATCAATATTCATTCTCGCTTAATTTAATAATCCCTCTATGGGAGGATACTTTCTTGCAGGACACTAAAGTTTAGTAACACTGGCTAGGAATCTGGTTGAGTCTTTTCAGAGCTATTCCAACACAGTATCACTAACACAAGCATATCAATAAGAATACTCCAAGTCTGGCTGGGTAACTCAGTTGGTTAGAGTATGCCCTAATATGCCAAGGTTGCAGGTTCAATCTCTGGTCAGGGCACACACAAGAATCAACCAATGGCCGAAACCGGTTTGGCTCAGTGATAGAGCGTCGGTCTGCGGACTGAAGTGTCCCAGGTTTGATTCCAGTCAAGGGCATGTACGTTGGTTGCGGGCACATCCCCGGTGGGGGGTGTGCAAAAGGCGGCTGGTCAATGTTTCTCTCTCATCGATGTTTCTAACTCTCTCTCTCCCTTCCTCTCTGTAAAAAACCAATAAAATATATTTTTTTAAAAAGAAAAGAAAAAAAAAAAAGAATGCTCCAGCCCTAACTGGTTTGGCTTAGTGGATAGAGAGATGGTTCACAGACTTAAGGGTCCCAGATTCGATTCCAGTCAAGGGCATGTACCTTGGTTGTGGGCTCCATCCCCAGTAGAGGGTGTGCAGGAGGCAGCTCATGTTTCTCTCTTTCAATGTTTCTAACTCTCTATCCCTCTCCCATCCTCTCTGTAAAAACCAGTAACATGTATTAAAAAACAAAACAATACAAAAACACAGCACAGTAATTGTAGAGCTCACAAACCACCACCTCCATCTGAAGCAAGGCTCTTTTTGTAATTAGAAAAAAAAAAAAAAAAATCCTCTACCTAATTTTATAAATCACCCTTCCCTCTTTTCTTCGTTCCTTGGAAGCATGAAAGCCATGAGGGTGCAGCAGTCCTCACAAAGCCTCCCAGGGTCACTTCATATCTTCTCTGTCCTCACTAATCTTCAACCTGCCTGTCACTCTAACCCTCAGCCTTAAAATAGGGTCTGGTTTTTCTGACACCTCACAACCTAAGTTAGCCCTGACACAGTAGCACAACTGTCTCATTTGCAACACTCTAACCACTGAACCAAACTGCTAGGGCTGCAGGCTGGCCATTTAATATTATCTTTCGGTAAATCTCAAACCACAAATAACCTCTTTCTGTTGACTCTTAACTTTAAATCAAAGAACTAAGTCTTCAAAACTTATGTATGATAATTGAATTCAACTAACTTAGAGTTGAAAACAATGCTGACATGCTGAAGGAAAGTAATTTAAGTGTCTTAAGCGATTGGAAATATAGACTTGCCCATGCTATTGATACTTAAGAGCCACCAGTCAATTGACTATGAACATTCAATCTCAACCTATTTTGGAATGAGGAAGCAGATCTACTAAATGGACAGAGAAAAAAGTCTTCAAGACCTTTTGGCTGTTACTTCTATGTACATAGATGACCTAGACCAGCGGTCACCAACCTTTTGGACCTCACGAACCACCAGTGGTCCGCAGACCACCAATTGGCGACAGCTGCTCCAAAGGTTTCCTTAAACCAGTCGTCGCCAACCTTTCTAACCTCACGGACCACCAATGATCTTCGGACCATGGGTTGTGACTGCTAACTAGACCATAGTTTGGTCTTGGGTTCTGTTGATTTGAAACCTAGATGCTTAAACTCACCTGAAATTAATATTTTTAACCAAAAGCCAAGTCAACTCTTCATAAATGAAAAGCCGAATTTAGATCAGAAGAGCATAGCACAGGGCTATGGAAAAAAAGACTAGAGTGTATCTGTCAAGACCTGGATTCTACCCTAGTACACTGCTAGTGGGAATGTACACTGATGTAGCCATTATGGGAAACAGTATGGAGTTTCCTCAAAAAATTAAATATGGAACTACCATTTGTCCCAGTAATCCTACTTCTAGGAATATATCCTAAGAGACCTAAAACATAAATGAGAAAGAATGTATGCACCCCTATGTTCACGGAAGCACAATTTACAACAGGTAAGATCTGCAAACAGCCCAAGTGCCCATCAGCAAATGAGTGGATAAAAAAGCGGTGGTACATTTATACCATGGAATACTATACAGAAAAAAAAAAAAAAAAGGATTTCTTATCCTTTGAAACAGTGTGTAGGGATCTGGATAGTATCATGCTAAGTGAAATAAACCAGTCAGAGAAAGACAAGTATCACATGATCTCACTCAAATGTGGAATCTAATGAGCAAAATAAACTGAATGGCAAAACAGATCCTGAGACACAGAAGCATGGAACAGACTGTGGAATCTCTGAGGTAAGGTGAGGTTGGGTGGGAAAAGACCAATCAAAGAACTTGTATGCATATAGGCATAACCATGGACACAGATAACAGGATGACAGGGTGGTGATGGACTGGAGTAGGGAAAGAGGGGAGGGGGGGCTAAAAGAGGTCAATGGGGAAATAAAGGAGACATATATAATACTGAAAAATAAAGATTTTTAATAATAATTAAAGAAAGGCCGAAACCGGTTTGGCTCAGTGGATAGAGCGTCAATCTGTGGACTGAAGGGTCCTGGGTTCGATTCCGGTCAGGGGCATGTACCTGGGTGTGGGCACATCCCCGGTAGGGGGCGTGCAAGTGGCAGCTGATCAATGACTCTTTCTCATCGATGTTTCTAACTCTCTATCTCTCCCTTCCTCTCTGTAAAAAATCAATAAAATATATTTTTTTTAAAAAAGAAAGAAAGACCTGCTCTCCAACTTTGGTCCTGTTTCTGATCAGCAAAGGGAGGCGATTAGACTAAACCAGTGATCCTCAAATGCTGGTATATAGACCATCTACAAGAAAATAAAAAAGGGAGAAAAAATGAATTGTGGTGAGTTTTTCATGGGTTAAGTATTAAAATACTATATTTCACCCTGGCCAGAGTGGCTCAGTTGGCTAAGCGTCATCCCATGCACTCAAGGGTTGCTGTTTCGATTCCTGGTCAGGACACATACTCAGGTTTCAAGTTGGATCCAGATCTGGGAGTGTATGGGAGGCAACCAGGAAATGTTTCTCTTTCTCTCTCCCTTCCTCTCTCTCTAAAAAAAAAACACAATAAAATAAAATGTTTTATTCTGAAATCATACCCTATCCTTTTGTTATTAAAATAAGTCAGTTCTTTTATAAAATGATTGTGATTTTTATAAAGTATTTTAATTTCATTCACCTCTAAAGTGTTTTGCCATCCAGACCATCTCCATGACAATGAAGAGGCTGCCCAGGATCTGTACTTACTCTGAACCATACTTTACTCCTTTAATAATCACTACTCTTAATTCTATTTC